AAACGAAGCCAAAGGCAAAGCGACTGCTCGTTTATAAATAAATTTATAAGTAATTTTACGTTTCGTTTTTTTCTCGTTTTTACTGATGAAGCCAAAGTTATGAGACAAAATATTTTTGTTATGTTATCGCCTGACGTTTGGTGACGCTGGATATTTTCTCATTGGTATATTAATCTATTAACATATCTTTTGTGGATACCAAGTATCCAATTTAATTGTAACAACTAGCGATAAATTTAAAAACGTAAAAGCGTTTATCGAAGTTTGAGAAAGATACATATGATATATGCGTGCCAAGTATCTTATTTTCAAAATCATTTATCAATTTTTGCAATGAATACATTTATATTCCGGTATAGAACCTTTTATCGCTTTTATTTGTCGTTTTTTATTAAGATTGCATCTCTGGTTTTGTAAGAATCTAAAAATGTCATCTCTTCATAATATTTATTATTACTGGCATGATTGAAATGTCAGAAAAATGTAATTTTAAGGGATAAAGAGAAGTTTTTGAGTAATCTATTTTCATTTACACTTTTTACTTGAATAAGCGTGTATATACGATAAAATGGTACGAAAATACCGATGATCCATGTATGCTACATTGTACTTTATTATATCGATGAGAATTTATAAAGGCACATGTGATTTTTGTCTTTTTAAGACGCTCAAAATGTTATTAAAACTAAATAGAAAGATAGAGAGAAAAAGCTGGAACACTACGAGAAAAGTATTCCTAAATCATTTTTAATGTATCCGATGCTTTCAAAAATTGAATGTAGTTCTATAGTTGAAAACTTTTGCAATAAATTTTTTTCATGAGAATAACGTTTTTTGCTCAGCGAAGAAATTAAGCTCTATTTATATTAAATATAGAAATTTATGACAAAATTATAAAAATTATTTGTATATTTTTTCAAGCCAAATCAGAGATAAATTATTTTATTAAATTACTTTCAGTGATGAAAAAAGTAATTCAAAATTTATTGAAAATAATTGTTGACATTAAATTTTTTTAAATTAGTTTGAATTGAATTGAGTGAATTTTCAATTGGTAGAAAAGTTTTTATTTATGTGATATTGATGTACCAAAGAGCATCGAAAAATCGTTTGCCCATTTGGATAAAAATGATAAATTTGAAAACAATTTGCAACAATTTTGGAATCAATTGTAACAGATTTGGTAATGGTTTAGGCCCTACGGTTGAATGAAACGAATTTCCAGAAATATGTCATAATTATTGCTTATCGAATAGACGAGAAGTGAAAGGAAAAAAATAGAGGTAAAAAAGAGCTGGAACACTTCTTATTTTGTTTTTAAAAAGACTTTAAATGTAATATCTACATCGTGCCATAATTAATATTAAAAAGCAGTCAAAAGGCTCTTTATTGTAAAATTTTACATTTATTGAAAAAGGGGATTATAAAATAGTGTACGGGCTGAAAGTAAATTCATTTTAAGAGGATTACTTTGATATCTATGAAAAAGTAAAAATAATCCAATGTTTATCAATTAAACGATTCAAACTATACATATTAGATTTTAAGAACATGTAAAAGTCACACTGATAACTTAACGATTTTCATTCACGGTAAGAAATTGAAATAGGATTTTCATAAAATTTTTCAAACAATTCAATACATTGATAGTTATTACTAACTCGTATTAAGCATTACACAATAATATAATCGCAATCCACATCTAAATTGATGGACCAATAATTCAAAGGTATAAAATGCACTGAAAAAAATCACAATAAAGATTTTCAAACTTTTCCCCTTTTTATGATAAATTGTAAAAATATTCAATAATATCAGTAGTCGATGTTTTTCAATAACTTCGATTCAATCGAAATTGAATTAGCAACGAGTGTGTTAAACGTTCGTATATTTTGCGAGCTGACTGCTGCGATGAGAGTTTATATAGCTGAGTAAAGTAATTAGTGAAGGTTAATTTTTAACAAACTGCAGTTTAATGGGAAATGCTAAATTCATCTTTAATATGTTATCAAGCCGGAATGATTTTAAGCTTAAAGCACCGAGTACGGAATGATTACAGACCTTACAAATTAAATAATTTTTATTTATTATCACTCGAATGTTATGTAAAAGAGTAAATATCTCTTGCAACTTCAGCACTTATTTTCCACATATTAAATAAATAAATAGTATAATAATGTATAAGATTAGCTCAAGAATTATGAACTGTTCTTCTCGTCGTGAAACTTTTTAAGATTTTTACAAACACTTTGTACATTTTTAGACTTACCCTCCTTAGCACAGCTAATATTTTGCTTTTTTCTTACATATTTATTATAAAGATACATTTTTAAAATAGCGCGAAATCTCTTATAATATACACTTCTCTGTCTTTCAATACACACATGTTATTTACATCATGTTTTATAATTGAGTTTAGACATACTGTTTTGTATGATAAACCGATCGATAGCACGTTATGTTAACTCTTTTTTGTAAATACATGCATATATTATGTGTAACATAAATAATTTTTCCTTTTGCAACAATTATTTATTGCTTATTGATATGAATATTACTTATTATATTATGTTATTAATATTATATGATATTGGTTATGAGACACGCCTTTGAAGCGATTGTTAAAATGTGTTAGCGAAAAATATATTATCTATTATTTATATGATATTTTTGAATAACATTAATTATTATCATTATACTTTTATGATCATTGTCATTTAAAATTAACGTCAAAAAATGAGTTGATGTTTTTTATATTATAATTATGTCTTTTAAATAAATAAATCGACTCGAAATTAATGTCAGAACCACTGTATACATCGACTTTTAAACTTGAATGAAAAAATTTCAGATGGGCACAGTTTTCATGATTATTTGATTTTACATCAAATAAAATAACAATTGGCAAGTAAAAAGTTTGTACAAAATTTTTGTCCGCAGAAATATAGAAAGGCACTTAAGCAAAATTGAAGTTTGAGAAAAAACCCAGATCAATATTAATGTATACTGTTATATTCAATTATTTTAATTTTTTAACAATCTACTGAATTTGCAAACTTGATATTGTAATTGTTATAATTTTTTATCAAAAATATCTTTCAAATTACTATTTCATTGATCTATAATGTGTAACAAAGTGCAACATGCTGCCTTGCTCAACAGTACAAGTACAAAGTAAATACAAATACATAACATGTCTTCAACTTAATAAAAATAAAAGACATTCTGATAGCTAATATTAACAATGTTATGATAAGAGATTACAAAAAGTGAGAAACGAAAAACAAAGAAATAAGTGAGAAGACACTTTCAGTAGAAACCCACCACACATAAATGTAAAAATTCCATATGTCTAGTTCCACATTCAACTTTTAAAATACTTTTGACACTGTCGCTATACTTGAAATTTTGTCAAATATTCTTGATATCTAATGAAAAAAAAAAAAAATGAAGAAAAAAGATTCATTTAGAGAATGAAATCAAATGAAATCGTCCCGATTTTCGACAACGTGCCTGTAAAAATAGAAAAAGCACTGCCAATCATGTTGAATGAAATTGTGCGCAAAACTGACACTCAATTAATATTATACATAAAAAAATCGAAAAAACTTTGTCATTGTAAAAAAATCTCCATTTAGCGACAGTTATGAATGTTTTACTGGTACTTATTGTAATATTTTAATTATGCATTAATATCTTTTTAAATGGAACCGTGAGCTTTTCGCCAATAAATTGCATATCACTAAAAACGTGCAGCGATTTTTGCATTAAAGAAGTGTGTGTAATTTATCAGAAATCAAAACTCACTCATACACAATAGAGCAAATAAACCATATAATTGACAAATTATATTTATGTATATGCGTAAAAATGAAGATGTATGTTCTTTGGTTGCAACAAAAAAAAATCATACTCCTGCAGTCTCTAAGAATACTCTAATGCAACTTATAAGATTTTGTGCACATATAAACCCTCGAATATCAATTGTCTCAACGTGATCGTTATACATAATATGAATTATCATGATAAATCTGATTATATATAATTTTGCGTCTTCTTTGTATAGCGTTGAACGCATTAACTATAAACAGAAATAAAAAGTAATACTAAGGTATAATGGTAAACGGTATCATCATAAACACTGTATAGCTAACGAATTTTGTGTCAATTTGAACATTATCATTGAAAACTGTGCATACAAATACTTATGAACTTACTCGTGAAAAGATCTTCAATCCAAATAATTAACAAAAAAAGTTTGAAAAGAAAAGAAATATAAATGAATTTAAAAATTAATGTAAGCGAGGAATATGTATATAAATACATACGAATAGGTATACGCAATTAGAGCGTTATATTTATATAAATATGTGCGCGAATGTTAGCGAGCATGGGATAATGAGTGCGTCTACGTGTAATCTTCTTAATTTTAATAACAAAAGTCTGAAAGTGAGTGTAATAAAAAATGCTTGTATGAATGAGGAAGTGTAAAAGGTACCGAGAGAAAGAGCATAGTTGAAAAAAAGCTCCGACATAATAGTTGTAATATGGGCGTGCATCGATTTTTCACGCTATTAACGATATAACAATTATCTCATTATTAAGAATTAATTGATAAATGGTAATGCATTAAATATAAGTGTTTAACTGCATTTACGTAAGAAATCATTATTCAGTGAAATTTAATGATAGTTGTTGGTGTAATATTATGAAATAAATCTTTAAAGATAAAATATTGGTATTTTGAATTATTTTGCAACTTAATTTCCTCTCCATAATATTGTAAAACTTTTAAAAAAGCTTTTTTAAACATCAATAGATCGAGTTACAGTAAAAACTTTTTTGAGAAAATTTTAAATTATAAACCAAAAAGTGATAGAGCAGTAGGTAAAAGAGAAATTTACTTTTTTCGAGAGACATATCATCTGTAAGTAAGCTTACGTCAGTTATATATGACTAATTGAATACACAAGTGCCAAACCAGCGTGTTCATGCAGGCACAGCTGACGTTTCGACGTGTTACCAGTCTGCTCTTGAATAAAATCAAAATTTTAATTGTGTTTCGTGTTTTTTGTTCTACTCTCGTGTTTTAGTGTCGTTAACAACAACTTTTTAAAGGGAATAACATCAAGTAAGTGTGAACTGTTAATTCTTGGTTTGTTTACGTTCACTTTTAGGTTATAAAGTACTCTCAATTGCATTCGAAATGCGGCATAATGATATAATATGATTTGATGAAAAATGTTGTTTACACCGGCAATTTTAGTAAACTTATTTGAATGACTATTAGACAAATGTTTAAAAAAGTGATGTTGATTGTTTGACAAAAATTAATATCGTTATCTCGAAAGTTTTTTATCTTATAAAGTGGATTAGATAAAATTTTTCAAATTTGAAAATTAATTTAAGAACTTATTTACTTCTGTCACGTTGTTCAGTAACATGAACTTTTCATGCGAGTATTCATTAACTTTTTAATACAAGATATTTGAAAGAGTAAAGCTTTACGAACGTTCAATTTTTTTGTTAATCGATTTATTATGTTAAATTAAGTAATACAGAGTTTCGCTATGTTTAATATTTTAAAATACCAACATAATTTGTCATTTGTGATTATCTTTTAAAAAAAATTTCCCAAATGTATCTGATTAAATTTTCATTCGAAAAATAATCGTTATTACTTACTTTTGTAGTATTATATTTTTTCAATCAGGATAATATAATAAATTCATTGCAGACTATAGGACGTACTTTTGCAAATCAATAAATAATTATCATAATTAATAATATCATTGGTTTTTTAATAACATTTAATTGTACAGAAAATCAGACTCTTAATTATCTTACGATTGTCCAGTTTAGCAATTAAATTAAAGATTAAATTTAAAATTTATAAAAAAAAAGCATGTTACATAAGCCAATAAGATCGAATTTTTTTAAAAATAACAAGTAAAACTTATTTACAATTTTAAAAATTTTCTATCATTTAAAGAAAATTTAATGTTTCTAAAATATAATATAAATTGAATTAAAAATATATTTGTACGTCGCTGTATTTATCAACAAAATACTTAATTAATAAACAGTTTGTAAATGTAATAATTTGGATTAGTAATTAATTTAAAATAGTAATTCTAAGTTCTTCTACGTTTTTGTATACGTCATGGCCTCGAGAAGAAGTACACTAATTGAAGGAAAAAAATTGATCAAGAATATCATTCTTATATTTACAAATTGAAACATTTTATTTGGATATTAATTGTATTAAAATTCAAAATAAAAACTTTTCTTATTTTCTTATAAATGGAACTAATTTTAAAAATAAACTATTCACTACAAACGCATTTTTACATCTCCATATATACATATACTGTAATTGTATAGTTGAAATTATGTCAAACATAATATACTACCAGTAATATTAAAAGATTCAAGCAACTTTACATTTTTTTCACTATATGCTATGAAAAATAATTCACACTAATACGTTTTCTTTTCACTTCAGTCTCCTCATGCTAAATCTCATTATTTACATGAAATACTGAAACAACATGAGACGTTATTTATTCGTTTAGAAAAAATAAACGAATTATGTCGCTGTTATAAATTAATGCTTTGTCACTGTTTTTTAACCTCCTCTTAGACGAAAAATATAATCTCAAAAAATAACGCAGTAGTAGTGATACTTTTTAATAAACTTTTGTGGCAACAATCGCTCAACGTTTGTTTAAGTCTTCTTTCGTGTAATAATAATACTTGAAATATACAATTTAATCTTACGAATTTAACGCTTTATCTACATCCTTACATGAGAACATACTCTCAAAATATAATTATCATTAATCATAAGGTAATATACCCTGCTGAATTTACGCAAGTTTAATGTTGAAGGAATTTTTTTATTATATGATCATAGTCATTAAAAAAAACTATTATCGAATCAAATCAACAAATGAATTTTGAATGACTATATTTATTACTCAAAATTAACTGTATAAATTTTAATCTAATAGTGACGCAGCTTATTTCGAATGTTATAAAATAGTTTTTTTGTAACGTGCTGCTGATTAAATATTCACCTTATTTTAAATTCTAATGGGTTACATTTCACTTTTTAACTAAAAAATTTTATTTTTTATAAATAATATTAATAAACTAGGATTTCAATCTCTAAAACATTTAAATTAAACTAAAATATAATAAGCGTGCTTACAGTTGACGTTTCCGACCCATGTTGCAAATTTTGAAATGACAAAGAGCCATATCTAGAAAAAGAAAAAAAAAACATAGTCATGAGATTAGAATGTACATCGAGTAGATATGTTTTCAATTCAAGTTAGATTAACAGTTGTTTAAGATACGCGACGCGCAATATTTTGACGATCAAGTTTTTGTTTTTTATTTTTGAGGATATCTCTACTTCGATCATAACTTAAGGTTCAACAAGTTTTGAAGCTGACATCGCTCTTTTTTCATTCAATTTCCTCCTCAATCAATCCGCGTACTAGAATATACGATGCGCGTTCGTTCACAGTTACAATGACGAGTTAAAAACTTTTAAATAATATAGCGTCATAGGATCGTCCGATGTCAAAACAAGCAATGCAATTGAATGAAATCTGTTGTTTGATCTATCAATTTTTATTGCGTTCAATTTTCATTTTTTGAGAACGCGCAAAATCTTAAATTCCAAGATTTTTTCACAGTGGCATTTATTGTATTTCATTTCACAAAGGATTTTGCTGAATTGAAAATTATTCGAATCCACTACTGCGTGAAATGTCGTCTAAAAAAAATGAAAACATCCATTTCGCGCGCGGCACGCATGCATAGAGACATGAGTCACACTATCGATGCATTTTTATTTTTTTTCTTCGTTAAAATCCAGCAAATCTATCAAAACAGCACGCGCGTAAGAAAAAAAGCTGCAACGCGCGCACGGCTATTTCAAAATCGCGATACTTTATTACTAAACACGTTTCTGACGCAACAATATATAGGTGCATCGTACTTTGTGCGTCGCTCCTATGGGGATATATGTAGTACAGTAGTGACACGTATGATAAAAAAAATTCACTGAATACTGATACGCTCGACGCATATAGTGTACGATGTTAATGCATCGCGAGGAATATTGTCATCGACGCTGGCTGTGTGATTGAAATTATAACTCCGCCGAGGTTGTATGGGAGGCGTATAACGTACGATTCTCTTCTAGCTCGAACACACAACGGACTTTGTATACTGCGCTCTGATCTACGAGAGGATTAATGCAGTTCTTAGCTGCGATATCATCTCTCTTTGCTTTGCTCTTTTTTTTACGACATACAAGCTAAAGAGCATTTAAATTACACCCGACACACAATCAAGTGATATATGAAAATGGCGCATGTGTGTCTTCTTGGGAATTTTACCGAATGACGCGCAATAAATTTAACTGACTCACTTTTTGTATTGATAGTAAATTAATCAAAAGAAAATTTCGTTAGAAAATTGCGGTAGGGTTATTTATTTCAATGAATTTCAAAAGAGCATTATATAATTCATTGAAAGTTTTATCTCTTCGAAATTTTTAAGAAATACTCACAGCTAGTTCGTTTTCCTGAATGCAAAGGTCCATTGCTGTAAGCTCCTTCTGCCACAGGTAGAGATTCGCCATCCTCTACCGAAACATCCTCTGCTTGCGACAAATCTTTTTGCTCCAATTCTTCGTCCATGAAAGCTTGAATTTCCATTTTTTCCGCGGTCAGCTCAGCTATGTCCCTTTCAATTTTCTCTTCTTTCTTTTCCATCATTTTTTTCAAACTTTCAACGAGCGGCTGCAAAATAACGCGATTGATTAATAAATCGGTAAGATTTCATGAATTTATTTTAAAAATTATTTCTTTGATTAAATTTTGCGCTTACTTCTTTGTACTTTGGATATCCATAGCTTTCACGGAACATCACGTCCGGCGGTAGTGCATGTGGTGCTGCTTCAATCATTGAGGCACCAAAAATATTAAGAAGCGATATCGCCAGGAAGCACAACCGTCGGCTCATTTTGCTGGTGTACATCTTCATTACGTCGAGTTTCTCGCTTCCTTGAAAATAGGAGTAGCCCAAAATTATTTACACTCTTCAAGTTATATTTTGATTATTTTACAAATATGTCTGAACGAAAAATTGTATTAACAAAAGGGAATTGTATTTTACAAATGATGTAATAAGAAACTGCTGCATTCAATGCTTTTTTTCCAGCAATATGATCTGAAGTCAATATTTCAATGAAGCACACTATGCAATACACTGTTATGTTTCGCATATTTTCTTCACGCATATACTTTAGAAATAGAAAAGAGTAATCTTTAAAATTTTTTAATAACTTGTATGAAAATTTAAATTTGAGCACTACATAATTTTAGCAAATGATAATTTTCTTTTAATTAATGTAATTTAACGAGAACAGACTTTTGGCATTCAATTTGTTTAGAAAGGATAGGAGAAAATAAATGATCATAGAATTCTTAGAAGTAGTTAATTAAACTCACTTAATTGTTCAACACCACTTTGACGTAAGAAAAATTTATTTTCGCTCGGAAATTGTCAACGGGATATTAATATATCGAAAGCAGTATCAATAGCTGCTTGAACTACAGAAATAGACAATTTTAAAATTTTACCCGATTGACGGCGATATTCTTAGCGATCGAACCGAACGTTCACCGAGCGAGGCAATATGTAGTAATGATTCCTTCGCTCGTACTATAGCTCTCGGATCGCGCGCCGTCAAAGCGTGAGAGCTCTGCACTCCTACCACCTGTAGAATTTGGAGCAAGGGTATTTTCCCACCTACCCACCTACGTTCAAACGTTGCACGTCGTTATTTCCACCCCTCTCTACTCCACTCTCACTCACTACTCTGGAGGATCTTATATTGTAACGTGGTACATCTTTGCGCGGCTTACTCCCACTTAAATTGTTATGATAACTGTTATGGTTATAAATAATAATTAAAACTTCCGTTTACGCTATCTTTTCTGTTTATAGAAATCATTGATCTCTACGATGGTTTAATTAAGAAAAAAAACAACTAAATAATAATTTACAATGCTTAAAAAAATTTATAGAATGTGGTTTTTCCGAAATTTATGCGAACTTTTTTTCCTCAAAATTACGAAAATATTTCCGGGTCTTTTTCGAATAATTTCGTGAATTTTAACATCCTTTCGAGAATTCGATTACAGATTTTGTGTTTGATACTTTTTAAATTTATCAAAAGTTATGTATACAATTAATTATTGAAAAAAATATTACTTTCACTGTTTATGTAAAGTTCTGAACATAATCAAAAATGGAAGATGACGATGAAAAGCCATTCGCTATCGAAAAAGCCAAGACTGGAAGAGCCAAGTGTAAAAAATGTAAAAATCCTATCGACAAGGATGAAGTAAGAATTGCGAGAATGATGGCCAATCCTTTTGGCGAAGGGAAAATGAAAGCTTGGCACCATGTCAATTGTTTATTTGAAGTTTTTGCTAAACAACGTGCCACTACCAAAAGAATCGAGGATCCAGAAGCTGATATCGATGGTTGGGCGGAGATGGATGCCGAAGACAAAAAAGAAATTATGGAAAAGATATCTGAATTTGAGGATTCAGGTAATTATTTCGACGATCATGATTCTTGATAGGGTCTTATGATTACAATATTTTTCTAGATCCTTTCAAAGCATTGAAAAAGAAGATGAAAGCCAAAGAAAATTCTAACTTTGACTCTTCGGCGAAAAAGAACAAAGAGTCGATTGATAAAGCAAAAAGTGAAAAAGGGCACTCCAGTAAAACTGAGTCAACTTCGCCAATTCAAACGATTCCGAAGAAAATTAGCCAAGATGACAAATTTTCCGAATTCCAACGGTTATGTCATGATATATCAAACGAAAGTTCATACCTGGAAAAAACGGCAATTGTAAAAAAGTTTTTTACCCAAGGATCTCAAAGTAGTAAGTAATTTCTGCAAGTACTCATTATGTTAGCATGCCATACTAGTTTGATACTGTAAAGTGAAAATTCTTGAATAACATATTTTTGAAATTGCTACACAACTTTTAAAAAATAAAATGTTTACGGCAAATGAACTCATTTGAACTCTGATAGTAGGAGCAAGGTTATAAGGGGCGGAGACAATCAATTTCATTATAAGGGATATCTCCCACGTGAATCAAGGCCTTTAAGTCTTTCTCTCTTGCTGCATGTATATGATTGATTATTGATGGTCATTTTAAATTGGTTTCATCCAGAATTTTATAACGAACCGAGTAAAAATTTTCCACTATCTCAAAAAATTTTGTATAGTTTTTAAAATTTAAAACAACAAAGCCGCAGACCGCAAACGTTCATTTAAACTTACTTGAAAAATCTGGTTTAAAGCTTTTCAGTCGGTTCACCAGTTGAGAAATTGACAGCAAATTTATACTTTATATGCACAAATTTATTAGTTTCACACTGTCCGAAGCTTTAAAAGTTTTTTTAATGAAGTTTGACTTTTTCGTATCGAATGTTTTACAAATCAAAATGCTGAGCAGTAATTAAGTCATGATGCACATAAAAACACATGAAACACTATAACCCTCCAGCAGAAAAATGAGCGTTTTCAAGAAGCTTCAAATTTTTTACTGCATGCAGTTCTTGATGCAATCTTGGTCCACGTGTCAATGGTTTTGTTGAGTAAACAAATTTTATATGCTTCGTTGGAAGAACAGGAATATGCTACGACGCTTCTATGTCTGTTTCTTAGTTCAGCTGTTTGACAACTATTGGTTTCAAAAGAGATTCGTCGGCATTTATAAGCTCGTTGTCCCTACCACCATCGATTGATTGTTAATAGTGATGACGACTCTTTCCACAGTCTGCTTGGCACCAGAGTCTTGAAGATTCTTAGAGTAAAAATGATAAAAACAGAGAGCGGGAGGGAGAGAAAGTAATTAGTCACATGATATCGTGCATAATAAACAATTGAATTTCAAGGATTCATCTCACGCGATAGGCTAATCTATCGTAAAAATTTTACTTATTTTTCGTTACAATGAGAAAATTTTTTTTCAATATTATAATCCATAGTGATGCAATTTTCAGTGCAATTTCTCGATTTCTCGATTTTAAAATTTGGGCATCGTCCGGAAATTGTGGACGATGATAGATTTCTTTTTCAATTTTCTTTCTTTTTAAAGTAATTTGGAAAAATTAATTTTCGAATGTGTCTTTGCATAACACTATAAGTTTTTGCGATAAAGCAGTTGAAACAAGATCATTAAACCAGACATCACCGGTGCAAATTCGATATATTTTTCATGACTCGTATCCCAAAACGTTTGATGAACACAACTCAATAGTTGACGGTACACACATTACTCAATATCTATTAAGACGATTGAAAATCCGGGTGTCTCGTACCGATAATTGTATTTGTTGAAAAAATTTCGTCCGACAGATTTTGTTTTATCTCGAGGCATTGAACCTTTATATCAAATGATTCAAGCGATTGAAAATAATAAACACAACTAAAAACTTCGTGTAAAAACAAACGATAAATACTACTTAAGTAATTTGCTGGTTAAATTCTAAAACTACTGTGAACATGAGCATTTCCGACAAATCATTTTTATCACACAAATTGATATACATGCATCATTTTTTCTTCCAATTTCTACAGACGTCTGCAAAAACTTGTTACCAAATATTAAACACTGCCAACTGATAAATGTACGTCGAGTTTTTTCAAATTATTCACTCCCATCATTTGATTTTCAAATTAATTTATTTTAAATATTATTCGAGTTGTATGGTTTAGCAATAAGTCCATTAGGTACTGTTTGTGTTTAGTAATACGTTTCATTTTTCATATCTACTTTCTTATATTTCCAAATTATAAACTTCATGCGATTAGAAAAAAATTAAATGAAAAACTTTTAATGTTGACATTTATTAAGCACTAATAATTAATATTTAGTTAACAAAAGCATCATAAGATTGTCTAAAATATAACTTATACATTCACATTTCAATTTTTTAGAAATGGAGTGTTAATGAGCAAATAGAATTGTATAAATTTTAATGATCTTTCGATTCACATAATAAATATTGTTAACATAAATTCCCCTCAAAAATCAATAAACTTTACTTCGTGGTGTTCCTTTCACATTACAATTTTTTAAAAATGAATTGTTGATGAGAAAATAAAATTGTATAATCAATTTCAATGACCTTTCCTTATAATTCACATAATATTGTTAATATAAATTCCCCTCAAAAGTTAATAAACTTTACTTCGTGGTGTTCCTTTTCAAGAAAAGTTCTAGAGAATGCATTTTTTTTCGTTCATGTAACGGTCGATTGATAAATGTAATAACCATTTTAGAACGTCATACTTGATTATTTTTTCGTACACAAAGCTATAAAACGAATTATGTAGAAAAAATATTCATTGAATGCAAAGTTCTCTATGAGAACGTTCAGCTCCATCAATACTTTTTTTTCTTATGATAACCAGTTCCTTAAATAAAGTTGACATAATTTTGGGAAAATGACGCGTTCGTCTTATATGCCCCCCCGTTCACATCGTGTGCCGCTCTCTGACCACTTTTATCATTTGAGCAAATTACATAGTAGTGATTATAGTGACGTTTCGAATTTTTATTGCTTTTATTTTATGAATGCGCTCGTCGCAAGTTATATTAGAAAGTTTAGTTTCTCGAAAAGCGGCAAAAAGTTCGCGTGCAGATTTTTCAGAATCAAAGGTTACATAAATTATTATCTCCGGCCTCTGGGTAAACAACATTGAGAATTAGTCGCGCATCTTTACTGACGATCAACCGATACGTTCGGCTCGCAATTGCGCAATTCGCTGATAAATCCGTCACTTTTTTAATTGATAAAAATAAAAAACTTTAATGCAATTTAAGTTGACACTCGCTCTTTGCGGCTCGAGAGAATTTGTACACACGCGCGCGAAGATATGATTACCCACGCTACGATGTGCTCCAACACAACACAACCTGGCCTCTAACAATTACACATGAAAATTTATAACGTGCACATACAAATCCATTCATTATATCGGTATCGTATGTATCCGGTTCGTTATGCGCAATCATAAATGTAAACAGCATAGGCGCTTCTGTTATCAAGGCGAGTAGTGTACATTTATTTGATACGTCAATGAAATATTTATGAATCATCGAAGATCGAGAGGCACATTCGCGTATTCTGTAAGAGCCACCGGTTAGAAGAGCTTTAGAAAATATTAGACGAAACTCGCTGGTGCTGCGCTCTATTAACGATTTCTAAATATCTTACCCGTTGCGTCAGCTATATAAAGTACACTTGTTCGTAATCGAGCTCGTTCATTGGTTCATTGTGTATAACATAATCATTTGAATTTTTACGAGTCTGGTGAATTTCCCAAGTCCTTTACCCCCGTATATCAACGCGCGAATAAAGATACAATAAAAATTATTACGTGAAAACAACAAATTTATCTTATTTAATTAGCTGTAATAAACCGAGTCACTATTGCATTTAATACATATATCTTGTAATGTTATCCTGAGGAGACAATCAAAAGTCATGACAAACGATGCGACGGCCCCTTTCTAGAATAACTATCTACTATGCGATATTGTCAAGATTAAATAATATTGCCCGTACTATCAAGGTTTGGTATTTTCCGTCCATAAGCCGAGAGGCGGCCTCATAGATTTAACAACTATTTTTCTTTTACTCGCGAGTGTCTCAAAGCACTCTCAAATCATTTAGTCGTTGATTGAGAATCAATTTTTTTTCTAAAAAAAAAATATGATTAGCGCTGTACATTCGTTTCAATAAAATTAAATTTTTTATATACCTCGAAGCTGTCTAAACAAATGGACAACCATGATTCAAAGTCGAATGAAAAATATTTTCCAGACGGATTTCAAAGTGACATTATTCTTTGGTGCAGATTATTATTGCCACTGGCGGAAAAAAGAATTTACAATCTTCAGAGCAAAGCCTTAATTAAATTATTTTCACGAATACTTGGCCAAAACGAGGATGCGATGCTCGAAGATTTAGAACAAGGTGACGTTGCGCAAACGATCGAAAAGTTTTTTGAAAAAAGCTCAGTTATCAAACCTCTTAAAACGAGTGAATTAACTTTACAAGAGGTACATTGGTGAAACAATCCGTTTTTATGATAAATTCTTTGTGACTATTATCGTCTTCATTATTTTCAGGTTGATGAATTTTTAGATAAATTGTCAAAACTTACGAAAGAAGATGAACAAACATATCACTTTAAATCAATCGTTAAAAGGTAAAATTTGTATGTTTATTTTTTTGTGTATTTGATGTCTCAACAGTAAAATCGAAAATTTGATCCGAGCAAGTAACAATATTCATTAAAATTTCTAATCTTATATTTATATGGGTAGATGTACCGCCAATGATTTAAAAATGATTATTCGTTTAATTAAACGAGATCTTCGAATTAATACTGGTCCTAAGCACATGTAAGTATAATCAAAAAATATCAATTTATAACATTTTGTTTTATTTTGTACGAAAATAATGTTAAAACCAAAATGTAGATTGGCTGCAGTTCACAAAGATGCTTATACAGCTTTCCAAGTTTCCCAAGATCTTGTAGGGATAATAAAAAAATGTTTAGGGATTACCCCGAGTTCGCCTGAAGTTAATGCCGGAAAAAAAGCCAAACTAGCCAACCTTTCGTTAATGACTCCTGTGTTACCCATGCTGGTATGACAATTTGTCGTTTATCCTTATACAATGTAATGCATGATAATTCGTCATAATGAAAATTATTTATGAGTTTTTTTTTATAACTTCATTTTAAAGGCAGAAGCATGTAAATCCGTCGAAATGGCTATGGAAAAATGTCCTAACGGCATGTTTTCGGAAGTGAAGTACGATGGTGAACGTGTACAGGTTCATAAAAATGGATCTGATTTTCGATATTTCAGCCGATCGCTAAAACCAGTTTTACCTCACAAAGTGAGTTTCTGTAAAAAATTTATAAATTTCACTCAAATTTAGTTATTTTTAGTTTTATCCTCATTTAACATCATTTCATATGCGATTAGCTTGCTACTAAAGATTGTATAAATAATGATTTATCGTCTAGGTCAATTTTTTACAAGAATATATTCCAAAAGCCTTTCCGTCGGGTGATGATTTGATAATAGATGCTGAAATACTGATGATCGATACTCGTAACGGGCAACCATTACCATTTGGAACATTAGGGGTTCATAAGGTATCAAATCTACTGAATAACTAATCATTTCATAATTTTGCAAGTACTGTAACTTGTACTTTATTTTTTCACTCTACATAAGTGAAACTTTAATTTGAAATTTTTTAAAGTTTAAGTTATTGCAAAAAATAATTCAACTGAACACTAATAAATTTTTTTAGAAAAATGAATTCAAGCATGCAAATGTTTGTTTATTCATTTTTGACATTATATTTTACAATGGCGAATCACTTTTAGAGAGGTAATTATTGATTATACCGTCAGCCACCAACTATTCGAATTCTAATCATGACGATTTTTCAGAACAATAAAGGAGCGAAGAAAATTATTAGAAGAAAAAATGATTCAAATACCTAATCGAATTGTATTATCGGAAGTTGAAGAGTTGGATGTAAATATTTATGCTATTATAATTTTGTTTAATTTTATCAAATTATTGATGTTTCATTAATTTTTCAGGATCCTGATAAACTAGCAAAAATGATATCTAAAGTTTTCAAATTAGGTTTGGAAGGATTAGTACTCAAAGATTTAAAGGTAAGCCTATTCGATTGTTTCGATAGTGTAATAAATATTCATGAATACTGATTTTTTATAAAACCTTTCAATTTCTCAGAGTAAATATGAACCAGGAAAAAGACACTGGTTAAAGATAAAAAAGGATTATTTGCTGAAAGGAGCCATGGCTGATACCGCAGATCTCGTTGTTATCGGAGCTTGGTACGGCACAGGTCAAAAAGGTAGCAATCCCTTTCAAAAATTCGATTTTCTTTCCTAGCTATTGCGATGTTAAATATTATCAACGTTTCAGGTGGCATGATGTCTATATTTTTGATGGGTTGTCATGATCCTACACGGGATAAATGGTTAACTGTAACAAAGGTAATCGACGACACCTGTGAAGGCCATCATTTTTTTCTATAGAGTTTAATTTTATTTAACTAATTTTCAGGTACATTCAGGACACGACGATGCCACCTTAGCTTTACTTCAGAAAAAACTTGACATGATAAAAATCAGTAAAGATCCAAATTTAGTACCCAGTTGGTTAATCGCCAATAAACCTATGGTGCCTGATTTTGTTGCAAGAGATCCCAAAGTAAATAAAATTTATGTTCAGGTGCTTTTGACCATTTATGTGAAATCAATTTACACTTCTAATGAAAATGATCAGTTACTAAACTAAAATTACAGTTCAAAAATTAATTCAGCTTTTTTTTTACAGAAACAACCTGTGTGGGAAATAACAGGAGCAGAATTCACTAATCAAGGTGTACACACAGCCGATGGTATAAGCATTAGATTCCCTCGAGTAACGCGTATTCGCGATGACAAGGATTGGAAGACTGCGACAAATCTACAAGAGCTTCATAATTTATTCAACAAAAGTGCCGATTCCGTTGATTTTTTGTTGCTTCAAGGAGGATCTGCCACTGATTCGGATAATGCCAAGTCAAAGAAAAAAATCAAAGCAGCATCTAGCAAAGTCGCTGCAGACACAAGAAAAGTAGATGAAACTGAAGCGATGGATGATGAATGTGTATCAGCAAACGAAACCAAAAGTTCGGAAAGGAAAAGAAAAAGAAAGTCGCGTGACGAAACCGATAGTGATATAAATGAAACGTCCCCCAAAAAGTCTAAAAAAACAATGCACACTAGTGAAGAAAAAGACAAAGATGATTTATATTATAGTGATGTCAGTATTGATGGACAGAAAAAGGCTGCATATTATTCTTTTATTGGTACAGATGTAAGAGTTTTTAAAATTTCTTTATTTATCATAACTAATTAATTCAATTTTATGATTCCATTACGTCGATTTTAACATAATTGTCATCATTTTTAGTATATAGAGCACGATGCATCTGGATATCCATTAAATTGGGTTGAGGGTCGGAAACCTCATCTTCTTCCTAAAAATGCCAAACCTATAAGTGAATTAGACAGAGCAGAAGTGGTGCGTATTATATTATAAAATTTTAGGAGCTTTTTTATTTAATTTACCCTTTGTATTTTTACAGAACGGACGATGTATATTACCGAATGTGCGCGTTTGTTTCGCCAAGGATTTGAGTTACGATAAAATGAGCGTCGCTCTACGCACATTGAAAACGTATCCTTTGACAATTTTAATTTATATAAAACGAGCAATTTGAAAATGATATGACTTTCATTATTTTATCAGGTTGAATGAATAAGGCAATTGATGAATTTTAACCGCAATTGCATTTTCAATAATGGAATAAATATCTGACAACGTGTTAGCTTTATATATGCAGAATTTATGTGAAAGTTTTTCAAGTTTCAAATGACCAGTTTAGCTTGAGGCGTTGAATTAAAATTGAGTCATAAATAGGTGAAAATATTATAAAGCCAAACGCGAAAATTATTTAACACTCTTTACAGTATAATATTGCATTATATTTTTTAGCGAACGAACAATTTTTAAACATTTCTGCTTAATAATAATTATACAATTTTATGAGGATGACTATTTTCTATTCATTTCTACGTTTTAAAGAATTCGTTCCAGTTTAAATTTTTAAAATGATTTTCACTCGGTATATGTCATAAAAATGATATTACTTATTCCTTTGTAGACTACCTTTTTTCTTGAGACTTCGCTGCTCAAATAGTAGGAGAACCTAAGAGTCTTTTCTCGATGTATACATACGCCGCCTTGAGACAGCTTTAGTTGCCGTTTTTAAAAACTTTTATTAAATAAATGAAAAAAATTGTTACGGATGAAATTAAAAAAATCTAACATTACGATTGCGCTAAACTGTAAGCAGTTTAATATGGCTAGCGTTGGCTCGGAGTGAATTTTCTTTTTCATCTTTTTCCTTAATTTTATTTTTTAATTCAATAAAATACATAGCCTTGGGGCAGTAATTCTTTCAAAATCGGAGCGTTCCCAGGCCACTCATGTGATTCATGGACGTACGAGTATCCCTGCAACGTTTTGTAACGTAAGTAATACGCAGTTAAAGCGGCAAATCATTTTTTCACACTCGAAATTGGACTATCTCAAGTGTACAATTTTATTGTTCAATCTAACTGATGTTCGAGACGGCATGAAATTGAAAATTCGAGCGAATGTTTTCAAACAATTGCTCTTTTTTCACCACCTTGAAGCAACTTGATATGTTTTATTATTGACTAAATATTGTAACATCTCAATTGAAAAAAATACGCGAAAAATGATGTTTTAACAAATAAATTTGAAAAAAAAGTATTTTGTTTTAATTTTATCAAAAGTAAATTGCTCAAAAAGAATTTTAATAGCATGGTTTTGTAAACGACGGAAATATGAGCGCAAATAAATACAGGGTGCTACTTAAAGTACGACACGCAAAACTACTTACCTCTACTTACCCACGGTTTAATATCTCTGTTGCTCAGTAAGATTTGCGCGTTTATACATTTAAACTTGAAAATTAGTTCGGGTAATCTAACCGAATGAGTTTATTGATCGATACAAGGTACTTCAGGTGGAAGCAATTGTTGAATTGAGTGCCGTTGAATAAATTTCATCCCACCTTTTCAGCAATACATTTTATAGCCGTGATATTTGTTGATTTTTATACGTTAAATATCAATCATTTTTGGTCTAGGTGGAATCAGGTATCCCCAAGTTGGCAAGGCATGTTACCGAAGAATGGATTAATGCAGCGGTGGCTCGCTGTAAAACTCCCAACGCCGTAGACTTCGCAGTTACTTTGTCAGAAACTTATTGCTCTTGTTTATGTGCTCGTCACAAATAAAATTTAATATGACTTTGTGGTTGCCATATACAAGTTTCACAATTTAAACACAGCCGTGAAATTGAACAAATTGAAGTGAGCTGAGGAAGCGGCCTTGATTACGGAATTTCACAAGTAATTTTTGAAGATTGTTTTTGAGATTTGAATTTACTAGGAAAGAAATTTAAAAAAAAATATGTACATAAATGTAAATGAATGATGTGACGTAAATAGAGTCATTGCTTACGAGGACGTCAGTGTCACTGCGACAACAATTTACAAACAAAAGGGTAGCCTTTGAAGTCCTGTAAACTTATTTAAAATGTAAACTTTTTTTACATTCAACAACTCAAATCTTATCGGTATTTCGAGTTTTTAACTTATTATTTTTGGCTCCTGAATAAAATGTACTTACTACTCATTAAATTTATATAGTTTTATATATTGAATATTGTATATGAGAATTAAAATAATAAATTGTCCGTGAATATAATACCAAAAATATTTTTCATTATCTATAGCATCTATAGCATCTATCAAATTATAATACTCGTTTGAAACTTTAAATAAAAGCAACTAAAATTCGACAATCACTAATTATTGCACAACATTGCGCAAGTGTTCAATGGCTTGTAAATGACCTATAAACTTTTGAAAAAAATCAAATTCTAAAATAAATTGAAATAGCATTCCCTTTTTTATTCATACAATAATAATAATACAACATACATAGTTGGGATATTATATTCTTATTTTATATAATATTTAACCATTTTAAACAGGAAGGTACAAGCATAATGGTAAGAGATAATACAAAAATTAATTTACACGCATAATTAAATCACTTAGACCGGACATAATTTCAAATTAACGTTAAGGAACTTTCAAGATATCAGTTACATGGTACATGATGAATAGTATTAGAATATTTCTTGAGTTGTAATACTAAGCTTATTGATGAAAAGCACATCGATACTTTTTTTTCTGAGACAATTAAAATGCGCCCAGTCAAAATTTTTTGATGCTTTTCGATATTGTTTTATTAATTAAAATTGATATATTTTGGCTAATTCCATCCATCAAGTTGATATAAGAACATTTACATGTACTTCGAGCTTTTGACAAAACATAAGATATATCATTGCTAAAAACAACCGATTTTATTTTTATTTAAAGAGTCAAATATTTCAACGAATAAGATTATGCAAATACATACCAATGATAATTAACGATGATGCCAAAATCTATATGCTTCGATGTCGTGAAAGAAAGTATCACTGGACACAAAATAATACTTACGGGCACTACTACGCATCGAATATCGCAATGTACATCGACTAAATGAGACTTTATAAATTAGAAATTGTTCTAACAACAGCATATGGTTTCTAGGGTCTCGAGTACATTGAGCTTTTGAACGACAGCTTTTGGGGGGAAAAAACGCAAGCACGTATGTTTCGATATATTTAATAGACGTAGGTAACATTTAATCCTGCACACTGCACATTCAGTCCCCGTTATAATCGCATCTGCGCGCGTTTCAATGAAATGAATTAAAAACCTCTCTCGACAATTATTATTACGCCCCCTGGAATTTTTATTTTTCGGCTATGATGCAGCGCGTCTACTTGCCGAAACAAGACACCGCGTTGAATGCGCACTGCCGCCAATAATTTCGTTTGCGTTGCAAATCATCGATGTCGGCCTGGCTGCGAAGACGCTTGACAAATCGCCGACCTACGAGAAAATTCAATAAGTCTCTTTCCACTGCAGCCGATGATCCATCGTCCTCGCCTCCCACCATCTGTAACTGGAGATGGAAAGAAAAAATTACTCAAGTTTATTAACTTTTTTTTTTGTCGAGCGTCAAATATAACAATATCGGGAGAGAGAGAGAGAGTTTGTTTTATCAAAAGCCCCCGCGGCGACACGGTGTGAATTTTTTTCTCGGGAGCATCTCTTGTTATTTAACTATTGAAAAAAGAAAATAATTATAGGATCTTATATTACGCAAAAGGATTGCTTTTCGCGTATCTGCGATGCATCGTGCGATTGATTTTCACAATGACGCATGAGCACAGACGTACAACTAAACGCCATACTGTATTACCGAAAAAATTAGTTTCAGCTTCGTTGCATTCAATAAAAATTTTATTTGTTTTACTTCGAAATTCAAACTCATTTTACTTTGATTATTTGTAGTAGTAAACTTGAATATCAGTAAAAAAAACTCAATTTATCATCTAATCATTGAAAATCTAAAAATAATTTATTTATTTTGCTTACAATTCTTTGATAATTCTTAAAATAATATTATTTTGCAATAAATATGGTATTACCTGGTAAAATTATTTATATCATTAATGTAACAAGTACACGAATTGTTCTCGAGGGAAATTTGGGATGTATCGATGTGAACTTTTATCAACTTGTCACAGACGCACCGTAATAACTTGATTTATTTATTGATCGTATGAAAATCGTATGATTGTAAATAAAATGAGTCAATCAAGCTTGAAAAATGCACACGACTCTATTACTGCTTCTAGAAATGAGAAGACAGTTCTCGAATTCGATAAGAAAAAGTAACGTCAATTCACGTTTTTATGCACGAAGTACAAAAATCTACAATCGGAAGATGACTTTTCATTAACAAACGTATTTGCGAACAAGAAGTGAGAGCGAAGAATATTTCTCGCTTGCGACACGCGACGAACTTTTTTATCTAATAAAAACACACTGTGTATTATAATATATCTGAAGCCATATATATTAATTCTGCAAATGACATCATTTTACCACTATCAAAAATGCCGTCCGACCGTTAATACCGTCGGCATTGTCCAGCGCAGTTATATAATTTACCGTGATTGTCAATATTTGGCAGCGAGGAAAGACTAAACCGAACGACGGTATAGCTATGTGCGTATAGACCGTGAAAATTGAGTTTACCTACGAGTATTTAATGAAATATTAATTCCAGTGTCTTTTTCGTCCAAACCGTTTAGCTTATCTTTCCGCGATACATTGGCGTTTCGTGTGTATTTTTACGTATCAAGGACGTAACCGCGTTCGAGCTGTGAAAACAGATAAAGGGCACTTGATAAGGAAATAAAGAAGGACTACCAACGTGAGAGAGAGGGTGAAATACCAGTTATTGCGGAGCAAATTTGTGCGATATCACTTGTTGATGTTGATTTAATGAAGTTAAGATATTCATTCATCAAACAGCCGCCCGTGAATGTATTTTTTCCACACACGTCCGTTCCATATGTTCAATAATCGAGCGATAAATAAACAAAAAAAAAACCATTCAATAAACAATGATCGGGGCGAATATTTTTTATAATCTCGATCCTCGCATTGGCAGCATGTGTCCGTTACGTATCGTCAGTTTTTTCTTTTTGCATTGTGTGCCACTGGACTTATTTAGACCTTCGAGAGAATCTTACAAAAAGCTTTGACGTCATCGCAATCAGACATATGAGAAATCTACATTAATACGCAGACGTGTGTTGTACAAGCGCAGCGAGACCAAGAGAGAGAGAGAGAGAGAGAGAGAGAAACACGTAGAAAATGAAATCAGAGAAAGTGCAAACGGAAACTACAATCAATGGATGCAGACGCGGTCATATACCAATGTGTGTATGTGTATAAACCGATGTCAAAGGTATGTTTAGCGCGTGTAATGCGGGGGGCGGCGTTCTCGAGCGAGGGCAGTAGTATTTTATTGCAGCTTGTTGCAGATTTATCCTCTCGATATCGAGAGCGAGAGAGAGAGCGAAAAAAAAATTGAGTTAAGAAAATGAAAAAAAAAAAAAAAGAAAAACGAGTAAATAATTTTAACGATTCGTTTTTCCGAGAAAAATTATATACTTTATCCGTACGCACGTTGATGGACGATGGATTATTAAATGACTCATTTTCGGAAAAATTTTCCTCGATAATCCCTGAGAGAGTATTATCCGCTTCTTCTTTTTTTTTTATTCTTTTTGATTTCGCAAAAAGGGCACAGCAGCTCTGTCGCTAATTTGAGCGGCAAAAACGCGGGTATACGTATTCATATATTTTCGCCCCGAGGTACGATACGCTCGATGCAAAAATTATTTATCAAACGTATCGTGTTAGAAAGCAATTGTAATTAACGAAATACACCGCGTTACATAATACATAATACGCATGTGCCCCAGCCGTTTATAATCTATCAATTGCGTTTCAATACGACATTAATAGTACCGTATTGTGATTACCAACTTACATTAAGTCCGTTCATTAACGCCTCTTTGTCACCGGCTGGCAGAGCGGCAGTCCAGTCGATGAAAACAACGAGGGCGATTATCGTGCATACGACCAATTTCAGCAGCATCGTACCGACAGATCTGAAAAAAAGTAAAGCAAAAAAATAGGGAATGCGTAAAATCGTAAAATTAATGATTGTTTTATAAGACAAATTACCGAGACGCGCGCGCGTCATTTGGGGCCACGAGTCGATTTTTCGAGCTTGTTCCATCGAATATCATTGCCGTATCACAGAATTACCATTCATTAATAAAACTCGCGGACGGAGATGCAAACAGAAGAATCGTGAAAAATTTACAGATAAAAAAGATCACTTTGTAGTGTGCATCATAACCATGTATCCGTTCAATGGATTATAAAATTTTATTAAAAACGAAGACTGCAAAAGGCGTTGCTTCGCGCATGAGCTTTTTCTACATCGCGAATCAATATAGATTCAATCGGATATTCATCAAAGGTTTCGAAATTCAAAGAAAATTTAAAAAAAAAAAAAATTATTATCGATATATCAAGCCCTAGCCACCACCCGCGGGGAAAATCTCGTTTGACATATGAACTGACGTTCGATTTTTTTTTTTTTTTTAATGAAAATTGTAAAAGTAAAAAAGCAGTTGAATCTGTCGATTCCCCATGTTAAATTATCTAACAAAATACTTAATTAACTCCTTAAGGGCAAGCGGCAGAAGAAAGGCATCGTGAAAAGTTTACGACGACCAACACTGCTACAAGCACGCGCAGGCGAAAGTACCATTTATGAGGGCAGGATCATAAAGTTCGTCCTATAAATATATATCTTTAAACGGTAGGTTGCCCGTAGACATGTAGAGTTTGAGAAATAACCCGCGCGCCTCTAAGGTATGTTTTATATACAAATATACCCTATAGTGTATATCGCGCGCCCGCGTAAGTTTAAGCGTCGATCGTTTTTCTCATCCTTCATATATAAGAAGAAGATCGTTGTTGGCGGTGGCTGCGGGAGCTTTTTTCATTCTTAAATTTTCTCTCTTCGCTGCATCGAGCTCGCTGCAACGACGGCACGCGCGCACCGCGAGATTCAACAAATAAAGAGCTTCGCTTATATAGGGGTATATTTTTCTTTACACGGTTTAATCTCGGTTCGCTACTTATTTATGATCGCGCTCGCAAGCTCTCTCTTTCTCTCTCTACGGCGAGAAAAGAAACAACTGCTTGTTTGATTATATGAAGTCGTAGAGAGAGAATCTAAGTGCAAGTATACAAGAAATGATTGATTGAGTTACATTCAATACGGTATCGAGGAAAACAATCAGTGCAGGTGACATTTTTCTCGACGATCGTAGCAAAAAATCGGTCGGTGCAGCATTCATCAAATTGATGTTTCTTCGCTGTTCAATGTTGAGCAATGTGATTTCACTTATTTAAAGGGAGAACATTTCTTCTCGTCCGAATGTCAGTATTTTTAGTTCGACATCAATAAAATCTATTCCACTCGATTTTCTTTTTAAATTATTTTGGAAGCTTTATATATTTGAATTTATTATTATGGTATCGTGCAATTTTACGAGGATTTCGAACATAAAATTTTCCAAAAAAGTTATCGATTGTCAGTATCAATTATCCAAAATATATCAGGACAAATTTATGATGTTACTCCGGCATACGACCCGATAAATCAGAATAATAAAAATCAACATATTCAATTCCAGACTTTATATGCTTGCCCTAAACAGTCAAAGCTCGCGCATCGAGAATAAAATGTATATTACAATTCAAGAAACGTATTCAACTGTAGTAACTTTTATTTATAGGGTTCTCAAAAGCTCATATCATAACGAAGACTCGCATAAGTAGATTTCTTTTGTTCCATTTTATAATATTTATAAAATAAACAACTTTCGAACCGATAATAGACAATATAATTTTTCTTTTCAAAAATTTATGATTTTATAAATTCTTAGCGATTAATTTATCGTATAACTCAATTAAAATCAAGTAACTTCACATTATAGTACGAGAAAGTAAAAAAATTGTTACATCTAAAAAAAAGTAGGACTCACCTTGCTTCAACAACCGAGTGTGCGAAACGATACCGAAACTGCTAAATCTGACAAGTGGTTGCGATCCGGTCGTAGGGGACAAGCGGATAAGCGATTGCGGGACAGGCCAAGCAATCTCCCAATAAAATGATCCGTGAAGAGTCTTCGAGATAATCGGCAAAGCGAGCAATCGCTATATATAAGTATCGATATCTTTATCGAAGGCGAGAAACGCGACGAAAGCTCCTATCTCTCGCGACTCTTCCTCGTCAACTTGTGTCGCAAGGGTGTCTAAACGTCAATGTGGCCGAGCTTGCAAGCATGCGACTACTTTATATCTTACGCGGCAAACTATATAGCGCATATAATCCAGCGCGTTTCGAGCCGAGCCAGCTACGCTGGTGGTGGGGGCGGTTGGCAGCGGTGGCTGCTGCTGCTGCTGCTGCGACGACGACGATGGAGGAGGAGGTAAAAAGTGGTGAATCGCATGTATAGCAGCATGTGCGACGTGCGCGGCGACTACTTGTGTGCTGCTGCTGCTGCTGCTGCTACTGCTCTTTGATGTTGGGTGGGAAAATTCTTTTTGTTGCGCGCACATAAGCGCGCACCTGACTGAATGACTGACTGAATGCAGAGAGAGAGAGGGTTGAAAAAGATAGAGAATAAAATTGTTTTTCCCCATGATGGGCTGGGAGACGTATTGTATTTCCCTTGTCCGCGAATAACTAATTCGCTAAAAAAGATTGAAAAATAGCTGCTGCTGCTGCTGTGCAATGTCACTCTGAAAAGTTCGTAATAAAAAATTAGACCAAACATTTCATAATAATTTTCATGGTTGAATCTTTTACGATTCAGTAATAATTAAAATATCATTACTGTTTTCAAATAAAAACACTCGATGTATCGTACGAATTCTGTCCACTTATTCGAGTAAAAATTTTATCATATTTTTTAAGCTAGGTCGATTCAAATTAAACTCTATACGAGTATGCAAGACGCGCACACATTCTTTTGTCACGTCAGGCTTGAAAAACTCATAAGTATTTTTTTTTATTCTGCTTACGACGCTACGCGCGGACTCGCGCTTGCATTTTTCAAATCGGATCTAATGATGAGAATATGAAAAAAAATGTTCATACGTACGCTACTCAAGAAGTCTCACGCTGTTTCGAATCTCACCTTACATTTCATTTTCACGCCCGGTATTCAAATGTAACGCGTCAATAGCGAGACGATTATGGATTATGATATCAATGAATGCGCGCGCCCCGAGGTACGATGATGAAAAATCTTCGAGTGGAATCTGGTTAAGTATTTGCGAGCGAGGTATACATATGCACACGTGTGGGTGTGTGCGTCGTGTACTTCGCACGGAAAATTGAAAATTACTGTTTGCACGATTACTATCGCACTAATGTATATCCTCTGAATGGGGGGGAAGGCGCGACGCGTCGCAGCAACTTCTAAATACAGGAAAGCAGAGTCGCAATTATTCGTCGCTCGCGGAATATACACACACACACACAAATACGTAAATACACTTGCCGCCTGTATATAGTCTCGGTGCGGCGCGTGCAATTTTCCTCTGGCAAAGTGTTGGCGCTTAATTATAAGCTATAATTCGGATTAAAGGCAACGCCAATGCGATTTCGAAGCGTCGGATTGCGACGAATCATTTCAATTATAGATATATTGTGTCGATACAGCGCAAGACAGCAGCCCATTGTCCGAAAATCATGAAATTTTCTTTTGAACTCGACGCGTGCGAGGGAAAATCAAATTTTCCACGGAGTTACCAGCGATTCTTCGTGAATAATGCGTATTAATTCTACAATGTTTCTACTTCAGCAAAAGTTGCTAAAAACTCGACATGCGATTTTTAATACTGGAGTAAGTTAAAAACTTAATAAATTTATTGGGTCTCGGTGGGCGAAGAAAAAAAAATTAGTGATATTCAATCATTCTATTTTTCTATCTAGTAAGAATCGCACTGACGTGACAATTGGAAAGTAACTGTCTTCATTTCTAAAAGTATTTTATCTTTTACGTAAACGTCAGAGAGTATGCCTGAGTGATCGAGTATTATTGTATAATTCACCTCGTAAAATGAAAAAAATCTATTTTGATATTTCTATGTGAGTAATAATATTTAAATTTTTTTCGCACGTGTCACATGCTTTACTTTATACTTTTAATGTTATAAAAATAAAATCTAATAATTGATGAATTTATTTTGGTAGTATGGTATCATAAAAACTCAACGATTTTCAAAATATTCAAATCGATTAAAGTCAGTATCATTATTAAGTAACCCTAATGATGTGCCGAAAAATATCGATTGCTTGATAATTAACTTGCTCGTAATTTGAAGTTTTTTTTATGTAGAATTTATAAAGCTCCCCTCAAGGAGAAATATGCAAAGATATATTGTGTTACGAATACAAAAGTAAATTTTAATCTTCAGGTAGCACGTCACACTCAAATATTATAAATATTCTAGAAAAATTAAGAGATTTATGTATTTTTACACGTTGCAAAAATATTATAAACATTAAATTCAAAATAAACATAGATCATGCTAATTAATCCAAGTTTCAGGCAGCTTCCATCTCATGTTGGACTAATCTATGGACGAATGTAGAGCTTTCACTTGTAAAGAGACAAGATTGACTCCGCCCACTGGTGACACATACGCACATAATGCGTGCGTCAACGCGTTCTCTCATAAAAACGCTTTACTCCGATTATCGGGTACTATTTGACAGAACGAAAATTTAAAAAAAACAAAAGCTTCGACTAATCTCTCTGATGGGACTATTAAATAACTGGGTAAATGTGTATTTTCCAACAGTAAAAAGCTGCAAATTCAATGTTCAATTCGAAGAACATGAAATGAAACATGAAAGACTACATATTGATGTCTCTCATTACGCAAGTGTCGTTTCATTTGTAAGCTGTTTCAAGGCCCAAAATTAATGGACCTAATATACCTCCTAATATACAACGGTACTTATGCAAAGATTGAGTGATTTGGAGGGGTGGAACCCTTCATACTCTTCTTAAATCAAAGTTCGATCAAGTTTCGCAAAAAAGAATGTTTAAGGGTCTGGTTTCATCATTTCTTTGAAGTTAAAAAAAGTAAGAGTTTGAGAACGCATATCATCTGTCCATCCTTATATCCATCCGTACCTAATGAAGAATTATTAAAATTGAATAGTTTTCATCGAACCACCAGATCAGAAATAACGTTCTAGAAGTTTGAGCTTTGTACATTTGATTCGTTGACGCAAGCTCCCTCTGTACAGGAGTCGCTGAAGAATAAAGCTCGAGAGCTTTCAAAGTTCTATCCTGCAAGGCTCCGTCGGTATATTGCCTTTGGAGCTTAATCAATTTTCTCGAACAGGAGGATTGATCAATAGTCTTTCTGTAAAATACTTCAAAAAGCTTATAATTGTTATTCATAATAATATTAGGGAAGCTGATGCGTATGAAGATATGATGAATGAAAGAAAGTCTGTTCATTTGAATGATTTTTGGTTCATTAGAAGATAGCGATAGAATTACCAGTTTATAAGATATATATTTCTACCGTAATGTTGAAATATTCATTTACAGTTTTTTAGAATTTGTAAGAACTCATACCACATTATTTATTGTTAATTATTATTAATCATGAAGTAGCCCTATATTTTTTTCTCCATTCATGAGTACTAAAATGAAATGTTCGTTGTCAAGTTATATAACAAATTATAAATAGATTTAACGATATTATTATGATTGAAACTTGAAGAACATTTTCAGATTTACATCATTTTACATTTATGTCATACCGATGTTGAATACTCTGCCAAGTGAGAGCGATGCGTTTATTATAATGTTATATAAAATAATTTACCGGTGGAAACATTTCCAAAATTGATGCAACCAGTGTAAATAAAACGAATAACATTTCTTTACATGGAATTACATTGTAAGGTGAAAATATTTCTTATCCTGACTTATAAAATCTAAAACGCATGTTTTGGGTCACGCAGTAGGTGGCTAAGTATAATACTCGAAGAAGCATTTAGATTTCTAGTGTTTTATTTTTTCTCACTTAGATAGAGGTCGTTGTGTTGATATCGGTGGATAACACCGCTTCTATACAATATATATAGTATTATATTAAATTCCGACAGGTTGTACACGTAAATCTATACATCTTATTTTAAAAAGTCTTGATTGATTTCTACTGTTGGTAGACGTCAATTGAATTTTATCGTTCAGGCTACCGTGGTTCGATAGAAAAAAAGTAAGGAGAACGAGTCGAGAAATATGATCATAATATTACGAAATCCACCGTAAATAAGAATATTGCGGAGTTTCAACTAATCTATAAATACTCGTTTTTTTCACAAATCAATAGATCTTCTTGTTGTCCGTGGACTTTGATACCATTTAATTGTGTTGACAATCGTGTAGATATAAATATAGGGTAAATCATCTGACCTTCGTTCATTAGTACTATAGAATTTACTTAATGAATTAAAATATAATGTCCTTTTATCATTTATAATATCTTAAATTTATGGACCAGGCTTTGAAATATTTCATAAGCCTATTACTATCTAAGAACATTCTGGGGGCACTAACTCGAATACAGGTTATTACGAGTTTGACTGCGATGCCGTATAGCGTCGTTTTGATCCTTGAATAAAGAATCGAGGACTGTAATATCATACAATATGATTATTGCCTATATCTTGAGCATGCATTTTTTTATAATTTTATCTACTTGGTTTTATTTTATTGAAATTTTAAAAATTCCTTACTACATAATAATGTGCATTACTTCGATAATTTAGCTTAACGTTTTTTGTATATTCTGTAAAATTTTAAAAATTATTCATGAGAAAATTAGACCTCTAAACTATTTTGAAATGTTTCCAATGTTGATATGTTTCTCGGAAAATTGCTTTCATCTTATTCACTGATTACACAAACTATGGCTCAATGCTAAGAAAATTGTCTTTTGAAAAATAAGCGTGGTTACCTTCAAAGTAAGCCTCTCGAGATTAGTAGAAAAACGAAGGATTTTCATTTGTTTTAGCATAGATTTTTTTGTAAAAATCGGATAGCATAATATGAAAACATGGGTACTTCCGATTAGTAATGGGAAATTTAATAAAATATCGTAAAATTTTCATCGCACATTGAGATAAGTATTTGCATACTTGTAAAAATGAGTCAGATTAAAATAATCGAGAATATTGACCCAGAGTCGTGGAGCTTATTTAAAAAATAAGTATTAATTTCTCAATTAATGAGCATGCTTAAAGCATAGCAAAAAATTGACCCGACAAACTACATTTTTTTATAACTATTGTTTAAGTGTATCTTATTGATTCGAATGACTTGAAGAAAAAATCGGTATCAAATAACTCGTCTGTAGAAAAAGTATTTCACAGATGTTCAATTCGTAATTTTTTTTCGCTTATTTAATTTGAGAAATTAAAAATTTGCTTTAAAAAAGTTGATTGCGAACGGAGCTTATAACTTATTGATTCATCTAATTTCTGAGACTTACATTGCGAAAATCATTTTTGAACTTGTTTGTTTACGGGTGTACAAGAGCAAACGATAAACTCCCAAAGCAATCTTTTTCATCGCAACTTCGTAGTAAATTAATGAAGCGGGAGAGACCTATAGTGTAAACTTAGAACAAAATTATAGGTGGTATGCTGCTGCTTTACTTTATGCGATGCATTTTTACTCGACGTTCGGAAAAAAACGTACGATCGGCGGCGGCTCTTTACGCACGAGATAATAATGACCATTGTTTTACTTAAATTTTCCTTTTTTTTTTTTAACTCTCGTGCAACATTAATTCCATTGCGTTGTGGATGAAAACTTTTACCCGGTTCGCAGCATCCAAAAAATAGCCTTTTTTGTAAATGCATCGTATGAATTTAATTAGCATCACACATTCGCGCCTTTCCGATTGGAGCACCACAAGCGTATAACTATACAATTTATTTCCAAGTGTCAACTAATTGGGTTGAAATGGGAAACTATTAACAATATACTGAATGATACTATTACACAAAAACGTCGGCGTTGCATATGTAGCGCCGAGTTACAAGAAGATAATTTAATTAAGCTAATAATGCAATTATTGCACTACGACCTTTCTCACTCACGCGCAAGTATAGTACGTATGAGCATAACTAATGTGTTCGCACAGGTAAAGAACCGATGAAACATAGCGAAGATTTTCCCTTTTCCGACACCAACGCAAACTCGATGACGCTCGAATAGCGATTGCATGCGGGACCTGGTAATCTACCCAAATAGAATGTCTCGAATTAACGTGCACACCGTTCGCAAGTACGGCACGTGTGTAAAATCGTTTCAAATCAGATCACCGCTGCAACTCGTCGCGTTCGCGCTAGTGCACATCAAAATTTTGCATCTACATAGTACGCGCGAGCGTATTTCGCGCCGGCTGTGAGCTTGTTTAGTCTGTAGCCGCCAAGAGTAGTAATGTCGCGCGCACTCCCACTTATATTTGCTCAAAAGTGTCTATATGTATATGTGCGTGTGCCTACGACGATCGACATGTATGTCATATAGCGCGGTGTGTATATGGAGAGCGCGAGCGCGGTGGTGTGGCGCGCTTATAAAGCCGAGAAAGCGCGCGCATGCGACACTAGCGTGGTATATAGGCATGCGGCATGGACGATCTCTGGCATATTGTACTGATCAGCATAGCATGAGGGAGGGCTTTAAAGCGCCTTCGAGTCGATCCTATGAATCCGCATCGTTATTACTTTTTCAACGTGAATTACCGTTAATCTATCTCGTCTCTTTCGATAAATAAAAGAGCCGATCGTCGACGCTGTTCTCAGCCGATCTCGATGAATTTTTATTTCATTACTTTTTAAATTGGATCATTAGATCGAGTGCGGTACACAATTTCTGTGCGGTTCAAAATGATATCAAGTAATCCCGATTTGATTTATCGAGAGATAGACGTCGCCCGTCGTTATTGAATTAGCTGGTACTACGAAAACTCAGTGGTAGCTGGAAAATTTCGAATACACTGGTGAAAATTTCATTCGCGCGGATAATATGGTTTTGAGTGGTCCGCATCCTGGATTCGCTGCAGTATTAATTATTATTTGTATGATTCACGGTCTGCTGGGCATGGCATTGAATGACGATTCCATGGATCCTTTGGACGTGCAGTTAGAAACTTATTCAAATGAAGAGCCTGTAAGTAAACTATTATTGTCATTATTATCAATTTGGATCAATTTTTAAAATTTCCATATCGCATAAATTATTTTTTATTTATTATATTCACACTGAAAAATCTAGTATTTCAAATTTAACACTCGAGGGTTTTCTTTCATTCTCGTCAAAATAAAATGTTTTATTAACCGAGGTACAATTAGTGTTTAATTTTTTGAAAAAATTTCAAATATCTTTTTTTTCTATTTCATAGACTGAAATATTCGTTCAAAATTTCCAAAATATTTTAGACAAATCTTTACGATTAAAGCACGTACTTATCGCAGATAAAACTTCCGCCTACGACAAATTAAAATTCCCAAATGTTTCGTTTTGAAACATCTTTTTTACAGTCCACGTACATTGCAAAGTAAAATAACCCAAATCAGTATACGAAATGAATAATAAGTAGATTTTTTCAAAATAAAATATCATTGTAAGTATAAACAAATTTCCTTCACTTTCAAACAGTACTTGCATTCTTTCGCGTGGTTTATAAATTATTTTGATGAATCTTAAGAAGTTAATGCAAGTAGTATTGTTGTACTTATCATTGGAAAAATCAACACGCAACTACATCTTATTGTAGCTGAGTAAATTGAAACTACTTCGTATATAAAGTAAAACTTAAAAGTATGCGATTAATTACTCTAAGTAACTTCCGTGGGTTGTAACGTCTAAAAATTTAATGAACATAAGTAAGAAACGAAATAAAACGTTAGAATCTGTTAAGACCTGAATGTGTTAATTCTTATTTAACTATGCTAATTAGAAAAATTTAAAGATCTATTTTCAATTTACGCTACTTCACTAAAATATAAGATATAAAAAAATTACCTGAGCGAGTAGTAGTTTTATAGTAGCATATAATTATCATATTATAGCGTAGTTTGTCTGTTCATTAATTAAGTATCTTCCATTTATCTAACAATAAACTTTACTATGCGGCAACATTACAATGAAACTATTTTGGGATTTTTACCCATTCATTTTGAAAACTGGAATCTATAATAAACTTTTAATAAAAAACCAACTAATAACTAAAATTAGAAAAAAATTTCTCGACTTACTCATTAAGTGTAAAGTGTGAAGTAGAGAAGCTAATTTTGTAAACATAATTGATACCTTTAACTATTACTTAACAATCGATGTAATAATTTTATGGTACACATAATTTACTTTTTCGATAGTAAAATTTTGTTTTTTTTCGTGACATCAGGTTTTATTAAAGCTTTTATCGTTTTCTTCATCAAGCCTTTGAAGTTATATTCGAAGTGGCTTAAAAATAAAACACAGGGAGATTATAACTTTGTTAAGCTTTCAATATACACGGATCATAGTGAGACGTTATAACTACCTTGGGGTCAAACGAACTAATTCTCTCCATGATTTTTTTCTATTTTATTCGGGCATTTGTTTCATAATCGATGTGTATTATAATCTCGATTATTAAGTTTTAATTTTATTCATTTTTCTACTGATCAAAGAGTGTAATTGAATATGGAATATCAAAAAAATAGGTTTCATTATGGCTTAGTAGGAATTTTTTTTTCCTTTCAGCGAGTTCTTCCGAAAAGAGCGGCTCTTTTACTGGACAAGCTACTGGTTGCGTTGCAAAAAGCTGTTGATAAGGATGAAATCGGAAAAGAAGGATCCAAGTCTTACGCGCGAATGCAATCAGATTTTCCCGATTTTCCAGAGTCACAAAAATTTTTATTAGCGGATGACAAAACGGTAAGCATTAGTTTAAGCTGCAATAGCGTCCATTAATAAGAAAATATAGTTTCATTAATGAGAAACAATGCCCAAAATTTTCATTGCAATGACAAGGACTAATAATTTCTCGTTTACATTTTTCTTCAGTTAGATATACTCAACAAATTTTGTAATTTTGATTGAATATTAAAATACCCTAGTAGACATTTTTTAACAGTTTTTAACCAACAAGATGATATCATTGCCGACAGTCTTTCTCTGATTTAAACAATTACTTTTACTTTGTTACTTGCAGATTTGCATTTAAATGTACTCGCCATCTAGTGGTGGCGGCTAAAAGTGATAATATTCTACTTAAAATAGTTGAAAACTGATTTCAATTTTACGAAACAAAAAAATGTTCAGTTTCAAGTCATTTAAAATACACTTAATATTTATATCATACTTTTTACAAAAAAATCGGTAAAAATAAGTCAATTAATGGTCACGTGTTTTGAAACATATTGAATGGTTATTTTAGTATCATCGAGTCATTATTATTAATTTTGAGCATTTCTACCAGGGTAATTGAATACACATATACACGTATATTAAATATTTAAAATTGCATAGTAGATATTGAAATTTATTCAAGCGAAAAATTCAAATTATATCCTTCCAGATGGATCTCCAGCGCCGTGGTCAAGCCAAGGGACGAGTTTACTGGCGTTGTTACTTCAACGCTGTTACGTGCTTCAAGAAAAAGTAGTGTTAATACTGCGGCACTGACATAAGACTGTGCGGCAACGGCAAGACTTTCTACATCGACTAATTCGGAATCAGAAAATTGAAAAAGCTCAAGTTTTTATGGCTTTTTTTAAAATCAACTTTAATCATTGATCTTCTATGCAAATTGTTTTTTCAAGTATAATATCATCATCTGGATATCATCCTACCGCACTGTTAAACTATAAAAATGATCTCAATCTACTAACAATTAAAAAAAATATCTCGTATTATTTAGTATTTCTAAGTTATTTTGTACATACTATGTGGAGATAGATTATAATTATTTAGCTGAAAATGAAACGATTTTTTGGACCTCTTTATTTCGCTAGGTACAAATATCATTTACTTTAACATTATTTTTAAAAAAACAGTATCACAAAAAGAATAATAAAATGTTATTTTTTTATTTTTCACGACGTTAATTTTGTAATTTCAACAAAACTCCAATCTAAAACTATAATCGAAAAACGTGTGTTTGCTTTTGCGTGCCGCGCGCAAGACCTTCATTATCGACGGGCAAAATGTTTACGCGTGTGTGCACGCGGCAGCCGCGCCGCCGCTATTCCCGGCGCGAGTTTTATCTACTGACGATTGGCCCCGCGCCGCGCGCGGCACGCAAATACAAAATATCAGCGACGGCTCGTGGCAACTTATTACACGAGTCTCGTTCGTTTTGATACGACAATCGCCGTTATCGATCGTTTTGCATAATTTTGTTAATTTGTAACACGTTTGATAAATCGAAACATCGCTTACGAAATATATCTTAATTTTTCGATAATACGCAAACGCATCCGACGTATATTTTCGAGGGAGAGAGAGAGAGAGAGAGAGAGAGAGAGAGAGCAGAGCGCGGCGGTTGTTGTTGTTGTAGCTGCTGCCTTGGACCTTGACATTTCGCACGGTTGCGGCGCCACCGATGAGAGTTTTTGGTTATGAGACAGTTTCGGGAATAACATTCACGCTGTGTTGTATAGAAGGAGAGTAAAGTGTAGGCTGCAGTCAACCCCGTGTACAGCGTTTCAGTTTTCACCCTGTATATTTACTAATTTATACTGTTGTCGCGCAAAGATCTGCGCGAGTTTTAGGTTAATAGTACGTTGAATTTGCATGCATAAGTTACCCTCGCTGCAAAGTTGACTTGTAAGCGGTGTTGTTTTCTTTCATTCAAAGTAGCGATAAGACTGCACGAAAATGACGAACTCTACGGATGAGTCTGCAGCCCCGAGCACCGAGAAGGCTGCCAACAATCCATTGGAACAGTTTGTTTTGTTAGCCAAAACCGCGAAAGGAGCTGCTGCTATTGAATTGATAAAGCAAGCCATGGAGACACCTGGTGTGAACGTATTTGGTGAACTCTTAGACATGCCTAATATTAAGGAACTAGAGCATGGCCCTCATGCGCCCTACTGGAACACACTCAATCTCTTTGCTTACGGTACTTATAAACAATATCTAGAACACAAAAGTGACTTGGTGGAATTGACGCCTGTACAGAAGAAAAAACTTCAACACCTCACCATTGTGTCTTTGGCGACCAAGTCCAAGTGTATACCGTACTCAGTTTTGCTCGAAGAGTTAGACATTAAAAATGTAAGGGACTTGGAAGACTTGATCATCGAAGCAGTGTACGCAGATATAATACATGGAAAGTTGGATCAAAAAAATTCACAATTAGAAGTTGACTATGCTGGCTTGGGGCGCGATGTCAGACCAGGCGATGCTGGAGCTGTTATTCAAACTCTTGCTGAATGGGGAGAAGCTTGTGATGATATTTTAAGTTGCATTGAAAATCAAGTTATGAAAGCTAATCGTAATAAAGTACAAGCTCTTCAACATAAGGAACAAATTCAACAAGAAGTTAGTTGATATTTTTTATAGTATTAAGTAAACTTAATTAAATAGATATTAGTTGAGATTGTTGATTTTATTATTTGAAAATAGGTTAACAATTTTAAGCATTAATTGAAAATTTTAAATTCTTAAAATTTGTATTAAAATAGATAGATTTTTAAATCAAATGTTAATTTTTTGATTTTATTTTATTTTTCTAGATTCTAAGACAGAAGAAGGTTATTTCATCAGTACCTGGTGGATCAATGCAAGATACAGATATGCTTGGCCCTAATTTATCGCTTATGCTCGAAGGTAACAGAGATGGAGACATGAAAAAAAAACCAAAAGGAAAAAGTCTTCGAGGAACTTCTAAATTCTGGAAAACATAAAAGCAGTCTAGTGTACGATTCTTGTACAAAAAACTGTATTTTTTAGTTATAAGAGAGAACTTTGATAAAACTATGAGGTACTGAAGTTAGATGCCTACCATCACATTAATTGTGATTATCTTTATTAGTATATCTAAAGCGTATAGAAATAAAACTTGTTTTTTAAATTGAAACCCATTATTCATTTAAATAAGAAAACAATTTAGTTTTTTCAATAATCTCATTTATAGTATAATTCTAGATTCTCTTATTATTGTTTTTGTTTTTTATTATTAAAACTTAAAGAAAGTTATGTGTTAAAGAGTAAAAATAATTGTATTGTTGAGATGATATTTACAAAGTCAGTTTTTTCAACTCGCCAATTTATAATTTTTATAGACTCTAATCATAAGTAACAAATAAAACCTTTATGATTTCAGTTCAAACTGCATGACAAAAAATAGGTTTTGATAATTAAAATAAATGAATTTATTAAAATTAATATCTGTAATATTATGCTTTATTGAAACAAAACTTTTACTTGGTTAGTATAACTTTGAACAATTTAATAAAAATATACAAAAACCATTATTTAACAAGTATAGTATTGCAGCTCAAATAAACGCAACATCAGTTGTCAAAAACTATTGTATCTTACACTTGTTACATTTGACAAAATTTAGTCAAAAAAATTTATTGGATTTTTTAATGTTATTTTTACTTACTGTCCATTAGTAATGAATTGGTTGTTGACGCTTGTAATTAATTCACTAATTTTAAAATACTAAGTGTTAAAATGAATAACTATTTAATTGTTTTCATAACAAACTATTATTAACCAAAACCTTTGAATTGAAATTTGATGAAAATAAGTTGAAGGATGGTTATTTTTGAATTTGGGATTTTGGTATTTATTAATTTTAATGAGGATTTAAAATCAATTTACACACAGTCTTTTGATATTATCTGCTCAATATATTTGAGTTTGTGTAATAAAATTTTAGTTTAAAACACTTTAACTTCATTCGAGATTAGATAGACAATTATCCGTCGAAATTAGGACCCTCACCCAAACTGATACGTCACAGACACTTAACGCAATTTCACGAAGCCAAAGTGAATTGCACACCACTGACCATATTACCCTGTTGAACAACGTTTCATCGATATTCCATTAATATTTCTTCCGATCGTCGTTACGATAAAATTTGCTTTTTTTTTTTTAAATAATTTTAGCTGACACGAACAACTAAAATCTTAACAAAATATCACAGAAACATTATCCTTTAGAAGGATTTTACAATGAATATAGATTTCACTCAACAATTGAAAAAATATAACTTTCATCTTAATTTTTTTGTGTAGAAGATTTTTCTCTTTTAACAATGATTCTAATAAATCGTGTTAATGATTCAATGCCTTATCGATATATTCTTGTGTCAAAAACTTGACGGTTTAAAACCGCATTCTTAATTACAGTTTATAGTTCTCAACAACTTGTATTTAGGTCGAAGTTAAAGTTTTGGAAACAATTTTCATTGAGATCGAAATTATCCACATATCACTGTCGATATCTAGCATTACAATGTTTTTATAATATTTATTCAATTCAATTTGATTATTACGTTTGAAGCGTACAGGTTTTCCCATACGCTTTTTTGATACACATATATTTTTTCTCCAATCGCTACTACACTCTTTTATATAATTTTTTATTTTGGTATTGGTGAGACCCACTTGATCGGCATGGTTTTTTTATACACTATTTACATCATTAGAATAAATTTTTTTTAACAATTCTTATAGAATAAACTGGAGTAGAAAAAATGTTTAGGGAATAATTTATATACAATTGCTCGTGATTAAAAAATAAACTATAATATAAGTATCGTTCATAAGAACCAAACTAATGTTTCATAAAACCCTTGCCGCGTAATAGTAAACGATGTACTTTTTCGTCAGGTACAGTTCATTATAATAAAGATAAATTATACATTAATTATGTACATTAGTAAATATTACGAGCAATCATAAAATTATAGAATCAAATCATCGATATAATCACACGTACGAATCATTCTGGATTTCCTTAAATATTAGAAATGCATTACTTCGAGTTCATTCGAGTTTTCTGATGAATTAGCTAAGATAACAAAATTTTATTCGTATATTTTTATCTCTTAAAAATTGTTTATAAAGAGCACCTTATGTTAGATAGACAATTTTTAATACATATAACAGCTCTATCAATTTTTAATATCAACAAAGTATAAAACAAGATCTAGACATGAGTATAATTTCACAACATATCGGCAGTTGTTTTTTTTCCGTAGCTACTATCAGAATCATTTTTAAATCTAGCAATATATTTATAACATATATTTTTCACAGCCAAAGTAAAGAATATAAGAGTAAAGTTTATTTTGCTTTCAAATATTTGCTAAATTGCAAACTAGCGCGCGTTTTTCGGTACGAAATAAAAACACTTATCTGTATCGGGAAGCCACGCAAAAAAACTTTTGCATTGCATAAAATTACTTCGATCGGTGGTACCGTTCAATTAATTAATAACAGTGTATACGTTAAAAGATCAACTTCCAACTAAAAATACACATAATTTTCTTGGTGTGTACACATCACGAGTAGTTTACAAGAGAGATATATTATATTTATATATGATATAATATACACATTACGTATTGTATTCCAAATGCTATCAACAATCTCATTGATCGGCCTCGGCCGAGGATGCCTGCCGTCAAGATGCGCCCTCGTCGTCCGCGCCTTGACTCCTGCGATTCGTGCCGCACGCATCGGTGATCGCTGATTTGCTACCCGCGCTACTGCTTCCATCCGGCTGGGAACAAAGCGACAGCGTGCCTTGCTCTTTGAAGTTGTCTTTGTTGTTGTTATTGTTCTGCGTCTGCGTGGACTTGGACACGAGTGCCGAACTTTGTCTCCTCGTTGACTGAAGATCACGGGTCTTCAGTTCAAAGCCTGCATAGAGTTAAAGCAATTCGTGTAGTAGAAATTAAGATCTTGTGGGTTAATTACAATTTTTTTCCTTTATGCTATCTCTTTTATTCTTTTGCGATTGAAAAAAAGGCCGCGTATTGATTGAAAAGCGAGAAAAGAAAATCCAAAAACATAAACGATATTCATATTTTTTTTATGAATACGTTTTTCTCGGTATCATATATCAAAACAATTACTTTTATGCCACAGATATTCGATGGATTATTTTTTTTCAAAAAATAATATTTTTTTCCGTTCTTCGAAACGATTCGAAATCAATTTTCCAGCTTCGAATCCGACTACTTTCTTTTTGCCGCTCCACTGCCACTGCACGAAAAAGGCTTATTATTCCGCCGAAACGGCCGTCATCGAGCGATCGGAGCGAAATATAATTACTTACACTCGCTTTGCGTCGAATTATCCGTCCTATTAGCCAGTACAGGATGCTGCTGAACGGTTTTATTCTGATCGCAGGTCACCGCCGTGAGGGTCACCGGCGCCATCATGCTCGACATGTTCGTGCTGGTGACCCCGGAATTTTTCGTCGTGCCGTGCCTGTTGGGCATCATGCTCTGGCGCACGTTGCGCTCTGGACGTATCAAAATGATGTACAGCTGCGAAACACAAGCGAGAATTGCGCTTTATTTTATGTGTATATCGACGGATCGAACAGGAGTGTAAAAGCCACAAATAGACCCGCGAGAGTAATTATAGAAATACTGCACAACACGCGTTTTGCGGTAGAACCGCATTACACGTTACATTGCAGTGAACAAAGGTCATAAATTCTCGTATTGAGTAAATATTGTAAAGCTATTTGAAAAAGAAATTTTTTTTTTGCTCAAAAATTGAATTTTATATTTTTCGGCACGTTCCGAACTAATTCAAACGCAGGTATAAATTTGATATTGAATCGAAGAGAGCTAGCTAACTGGTGGTGGTTACCTTGGGGCTGAAAAGGCAGGCAATCGTAACGGAGGCCGAGAGGCTGATGGTCACGGACATCGAGGTAATCCTGAGCGCTACGTGATTACCCGTGCCGAAATACAGCGGCACGAACGCCAGCCAAATCACACAAGTCGTGTACATGGTGAAACCTGTAATTTCAAATTGTACATGTGTGTATATATATATTATATCTATAAGGGCTTGTGTTGCCTCTGCAGTATGTATACGAGGTCACTCATTCCTGGCAGCAGCAGCAGCAGCAGCAGACGTTTCACACGCGCGCGTGCGGAATGCTTTTAAAGCTGCAGCTACCGTACGCGATCGAATACTCTCCAAAATTTTCGTCTGATATTTAACCGAACGGTCGGTAGTGGCTGCTGCTCTGCTGCTTCTGTGTTATCTTACTTTGTGCGCGTGGAGAGGTGTGCCCTTTCGCAGTGTTATATATCCCTGCGTTAAATGAGGAAATTCGTCTTTTGTATAGTACATCTGCTATATACGGTACATATATTGCATCTATCCTCAAACTTTGACGGGCTTGTTACAGCTAGCTGGTACGCTGCGGGGCTGGCACTACTACTACCCCTTTTGTAACGCGCGCGCAGCTACAAAATAGAAAATGCCACACGCGGCTATTCATAAAACAGCTTCACCATCGAGTTAGAGCCCCGAAGAGAGAGAGAGAGAGAGAGAGAGAGAATGAGGATGACTGATGAAAGCTGCATTGCAGCTGCTCAATGCATGCCCTCGCGAGGGAGAAAAGGCTTCCTTCCATATATAATACATTGTATAGTGAAATTTCACGTTTAATATACTTTGCAGTCTTTGATATTCAATTTCGCCTAAATTTTTGTATAATATTCGTCTAATATAGATTGATTGTTTTTACAACAACGGCAACTACAACGAAAAAGATAATAAACCCTTCGCACGCTTACATCGACGCTCTAGGCTAAAAAAATATACAACATATACAAGAGCTCTAAAGTTATTGAAGTCGAAAAAAATATAAATCAGTTTTTGTAAATAAAAATAAAGTCGAAAGAAAAATTCCGCCTCGTAAAGTTGAGGGGTGGAAGAAAAAAAAAGGCTCGCGCGCGCGCGTGAGCTAGCCAAGGAGGCAGGAAGATTACGTGAGTCGAAGCAAAAGCCAAGTGATTCATGAAGGCTCTCTCTCTTGGCTGTATATAGGCGGTATATACAGTATATATATCGCTACAGTTTATTATACGACCAGGCGTTGCAAACCCACCCACACACACATAGTGTAACAAGCCTCGAACATATTATATACTGTACAGAGACCACGTGTGTATAGTGCATGATTTTCCATACCGATATGCTTGCTCTCGTTGAAAGCCTCGGGTATCTTCCTGGTCAGCACCGCGTATACCGTGCAGACGACGATCAGTATGATCGGATAGGTGAAGGCGATCATGTAGCTGGCGTTGACGTAGCTGTTGCAGACGAGCAGATTGTCGTCGCGGGTCGGATAGACGTGCTCCGCGCGAGCCGGATCGATCACCATCCAAACGAGGTTGATGAGGATCTGCAGAGAGACGAGCATCGAGCAGATGATGAGCTGAGAGCGGGGCGATATGAAGGAGGGCCGTTTGGCGCTCTGCTTGCCGGCGCGAAATATTCGCGCGATCCGGTTGGTCTTGGTCAGCAGCGCCGCGTAGACCACCGTGAAGCAGAAGCCGGCTGAAAATCTGGTGGCGCAAGAGACGACGACGCCGAGGATGAGATAAGAGAGAACAAGAAAAAAAAAAGTTTTAACGCGACCTTCTAGAGTTAGTGAGATCGGTTACTACTATACTACACGTATTTAAGTGCGAGAGAAGGAGAGACTATAACTTTGCGAAACTTTAACGCGCCGCGCTGTGGCTCTCTCTCTCTCTCTCTCTCTTCGTCGATTCTTGACTAATTCTCTCTTTGCCATTTGCTCGCGCGCGCACACGTATTAATGACTCGCGCGGCAATTAGCGCGTTCAGAGCGATATAATTGCCCTATTTAAAAAGCTATTTAACAAAAGTAAATTTTCTTCCCCCTTAGCGCGACGATAAAAATCGCTCGCGCGCGCCTTTCGTTCTCTGAAGCTGAAAGTTACATCGCCCAAGAACGAAAAAACTTTACAGCTCGAGTGGTTTCGAGCGCGCGCAATTATTTATACATTTACATAAAACGATTCACGACGAATGTTAAGTATTATTCAACAAACGCTTGAAAATTGCGATGCTCAAAGTTATTCAAACTCGCGCAAAACAAAGGCTCGTTCCGCGCGCGTGTAATCGTCATAAGTAGTGGTATATAACTGCCCTGATCGGTTTGAGCGGGCACACGAGAGCTTCATTGCCATCGTTAGTATGCCCGGCAAAATTACAATCTCATCTCCGAGCGCCGGTGTATAGACAGAGAGAGAGTGAGAGCAGTGAAATGACGAAACTTTGCAAAGCTAGCAGAAGGACAGGAGGAGGAAAATCCAGGCCAAACGATTACGCGCGCAGCGGGTATAATATTTTAATAAGTACGATAGTAGTAACCATTGTCTGTCCGTGTGTATGCACAGAGCAGCTGCAGCAGCAGCAGAATGGAGAATAGATACCTACCTCTGTATGCTGCATACGATATTAGTCGGCCTGAGCACCAACGCGAAGGTAACTGAGTAACAAAGGAGTATGCCGAGCAATAAAATATAGGATAATTCTCGGCCCGAGGCGCGAACGATCGGCGTGTCGTTGTGCTTGATGAAGACTCCCACCACGAAGCAAGTCACCTGCGCAGTCACGTTATAGTAGAGAAGATATTAGAGGGAAATGATTAATGCCTTTGATATATTAATAATAAATTGATATAGAGAGATAGAGAGCATATGAGATATAATTAAATACCAATATTCCCGTGGACGAGAAGGACATGGCTCCTATCGCCCAGCCGCTCTCCAATTTCAAGAACTCCTCGGGTATGTCACGGCAGTAGGAGTGGGTCTCGTCCGGCACGGTGCCTTCCGGACAGTCGATGCACTGCGTCTCGTCGTTCGGCTTCCGTATCTATGTGCATACAGCATCATCAAAGCTCATATACAAACACCCATGCACGTACATACACAATTGGCATTACGTTACGTATATATATGTGACATTCCACGTCAACTGGCCCACCGACGAGTCCAAAAATAGGAGCCACCTAGAATATCACTGAGGGCTTAAAATTTTCGCAAAGTCAAGGGCTTTCGAAATTCACGTGGCCTTTTCCCCGAAACCCATCCCCCCACCCCCTATGGCGGCCAAAAACCCTTGGGCCAACTTTTCGCATTGTTCATCGTTTAATAAAACCCGCATAGTGTGGCCGGCTGGGGTCTACGATGAACCAAATGAAAGGTTTTGAGCTCTACTTTTCGAAAACATGTTATAAAACCATCTTCGGGTTACGTAAAGTGCCGTATGACTGCAAAAACCACGCGACGCGTATTTACGCCTCTCTATTTTTTATCTCGAAAACCATTGAGTCAAGGAAAAAAGTTTATTGAACAAAAAAGTCTTAGAATTGATCGAGGAACACCCTCAAATTTTTTCAGAATTTTTTGGATTCATTTTATATATGCGGAAACGAGGGGAAATCGAATTTCTCAAAATCATCCCCGAAAAATTCTGAAAAAATTTGAGGGTGTTCCTCGATCAATTCTAAGACTTTTTTGTTCAATAAACTTTTTTCCTTGACTCAATGGTTTTCGAGATAAAAAATAGAGAGGCGTAAATACGCGTCGCGTGGTTTTTGCAGTCATACGGCACTTTACGTAACCCGAAGATGGTTTTATAACATGTTTTCGAAAAGTAGAGCTCAAAACCTTTCATTTGGTTCATCGTAGACCCCAGCCGGCCACACTATGCGGGTTTTATTAAACGATGAACAATGCGAAAAGTTGGCCCAAGGGTTTTTGGCCGCCATAGGGGGTGGGGGGATGGGTTTCGGGGAAAAGGCCACGTGAATTTCGAAAGCCCTTGACTTTGCGAAAATTTTAAGCCCTCAGTGATATTCTAGGTGGCTCCTATTTTTGGACTCGTCGGTGGGCCAGTTGACGTGGAATGTCACATATATATACGTTATACACTACGCACAACAATACAAAATACAAAGGGCAGTTCGCTCGGTCGTTGTTGGGTATATGAGGATGGGGTAGTGCGGGCGATCGGGAATCAATAGAGCGCGACGGCAGCGGCGAGCTTTCGAGAGAGAAATACGTTGTTCTCGGCGCAATGGCAAATCGGCCGCAACTTATTCTCTCTCTCTCTCTCTATTCCTCATGTATGTATGTATGCATGCGCGGGCTTACGCGCGGAGAGTTCCTCATTGTNCCTGATCCAGGAATTATTTGAATATTTGTGATTTTTCATGAATTTCAAAAAAACCCTAAAATGGCCAACTTCGGGCCCCTGAAAAAGAGTGATAGATGGTCCCAAAAATTCTAATAAAATTTGGGGACATTTCTGACATCGGGAACAGCAAGTTTTTCATATTTGCAGAAAAAAAATTTTTTTGGCCATTCGATTTCACAGAGAATCGGCCATATGCGTGGGCGGCCAAGGAAGTACCTGTATACGTCATCATTTCAAATCCACGTATATTTGCAATAATCAATTCGAATTTTACTTCGCAAGCGCCGATATTATTGGTGCATACATGTTTTATCTGAAAATTTTGGTAATTTGACCGATATTTTGTGTTTTTAGGGTAGTACTTTTGTATACGCGCGCGATCGAGCAGCGATCCAGAACCAATCATTATGTGTAGCAATATATAATATGATTCGTCGAAGGATGAATTTTGCATTTTAAGTACGTCATTAAACTCATCTGCTTCATTAGTTTCGTGAAGATTTATATAATGTGCCTGCGTGCAAAAATAAATACATATTATCGTCGGATGTGCCAGCTCGCGCGCCCCTCAACGATGAACAATCAATTTGCCAAGTTTACGACAATCCTGTTTAGTTATCGTTTTATAAATGAGGTGTTCGATCTGGATAATCGAGTGGCCGACAATTTTTTGGTGTTGGCGGGATGAAATTTTATCAAAAGTTTCGAGATCGAGCATCTCTTTTTTCAAGGTAATCAATAGTGAAAAAAAACTATTTTTTGCTTTTTATACCTTTTTCTGACCTGGTAGATATGCTCGATATTTGGTCTAAAACCCAAAAAATGTGTTTTAAAATATATTACCTTAAATTGAATTGTTTTTGACAATTTTTCTGTTGCAATTATTTTGGATATATTAAGCGGATTTTAAATAACCTTAGAACGACAATTGCATTATTTCAAAAAATTTAGAATAGATTTCAACCAATTAGAATTTAATAATACGACTTTAATCATCCGTCACTAGATGGCAATTACCTTCATTTCTAGAAATCTGAAAGTGGCTAAGTAAAATTGATAGTATAAGTCAAATCGTTGATTTTGCTATATACCAAGTGCAAGTTTCATAAGAATTATGCCCTTGTATTGGCCTCACATGGCCCTTCAAAATAGTTTTTTATTAGCCAAAAATTAGCCTTAAAATATTGAGCATTTCTACCAGACATACAATAATTTTTATATTATTTTCAGAATATAAAAATGAGTATCGACTCAAGGACTCCTCGATAAAACCCGAATATAGAATAATTAGTTTAGCATTGAAGCTAAGTTCAGTTTCTGCTATGCTAAGGATAAATTTCCAATACCCGAGCGTAAGATCACCTTGAATAAAAGGTGAAAATAGGACAAATATTCTAGATATTAAAATTCTTCTACACACTCACTCACATTTTCCGGTATTATATAATTCATTTATTCGTAAAAATAATTCTTTACTAAAAAACTGCGAATTTAATTGCTCGCCGAACTATATTTTATATCGAAAGATCATAATAAGCCATCGGTTAGAAAAGAGTGACATCATTCGCAGTCGCTGTCACGCCGTATATCGCGAGTCGCGAGCAAAAAAAAACATATATATGATAATCGAAGTGAAAGGAATATTAACGCTCGCGTATATAATACGGCGAGTAAAAAAGGGAAAGAATAAGAGTAGGGGCCGAAAGGAGAAAGAGAGAGGTATAGGTATCGTTCGTGTCCAGAATTTACCAACCTGGTATTGAGTACAATTGAAACAGTGCCAACAGCAGCTCTCACCCTCGACGTATTTTTTCGCCTGACCGAGTTCACAGGGCAAAGAACATACGCTCTCTGGCGGTGAAGCGTGTTCAAGCCGAAATTGGATTTCTATGAGCACATAAAAATACGATTAGATCTCAAGTGTAAGATAAAAAGAGAGTAAGAGTAAGAGAGAGAGAGAGTGAGAGAAAGGGAAGATATTTGATGGATTAAAAGCTTGTGGATTTATTATATCGCCCGTCGTGCGGAAATGTTGATACAAGGCAAGAGAACAATTTTTCTTTCACCTCGAACGGATTGGCTCCTGCGGGTAAAGCTCTATCTCCCCAAACGCGTTTACTATTAAACCAATTCACGAGCTTTTACTCTCTCTCTCTCTCTCTCTCTAGCTCGGCATCAAATATTTTCCGAAGCGCATGCACGAAAAGACTCGAATCTGTGTGTTCAGCTGCTCCTACCGTTCATATCCAAATGCAGAGTGCCTTCCAAGTACTGACCCACTCGCACCCACTTATATTGGCCGGCCGAGATCTGCTTGAAATGAATAATATTATATCTGGCCGGGCCGTCGCCGTTGGAATCGAATTTGAATCTGTCGCCGCTCAAGCCTTTAAAATCGACTTTGCGCAGATACTTCAAGAGCTCTTCGCCCTTGGTCGGTCGCATCTCGTCGCACAGACCCTCCTTGCCGCCGCAAAGATCTCGGTGCATGTCTCTGCAAAGAAATGCAGAATTTTAATGCCATTTTTTTTATTTTTTTTTATTTTTTATGAATATAAAAGCGAGAGACAGAGTGGAATCTCACCGAAAGGCATACGCGAACGCCATGACTGCGTCCGAAACGAATTGTAGCTGATTTTCGAAAGCCATGTCGCTCTTCATTAGTCGTTCTTTGGTCGTGCACGCATTTTCGTACTTGACGTTGTAGGGCGTTAACGAAGAGTTAGGGTATTTGCATTTGAAGTGATCCTCCCAAAATTCTATAAAAGTATTACGTGAATAACTTTATTGCGTTACCAATAGTAATAAAATAAAAAAACGTCAAAAACAATAAAAATAAAAGTACACCACCACTATGAGTATATTAAAAAGGTACTCTAGAGTACTCTTATATTTTCGATAAGTTAATTAAATAAAGCCGCATTATATTGAATTGCCATCGACTGCAACTCGCTGCTGCTATATGCGCGTCCCATTGTAACGCAGGGGCTGAACTGAATCGTCAGCACTGGGCACACCACCACCACCACTACTGCACGATCGTCGCGTCCGTGTGTAATAAAAAAAAAAAAAAGAAAAATTGCAGCCTCATCATCAGTATTAAATTTCGTCTTACGTTGGCAAGAAGCGCCGCAGCACAGCATCAGAGAGTTATTAATCGAGGTCACTTCATTATCGGTGGTGGCGCGGCTTAATCACATTATAATTTCGCTGATTTTCGACACGAGGCGCGGGGGTTGGCAGTTTCGGTAATTTTGCTGCTGCTGGCCCGGGAGTAAATATATATCTCCAAAGCAATTTCTCGCGAACCTATAGGTTTGCGCGAATCGTATAATGTACATCGAAATTCGCGAGCCAGAAAATTCGATAATTCGATAAAACACGCGTCATTGTTGCGCGTTGTGTGTTCGTAATCGGGAGCTACAGCCCCCCTCGCGCTATTATATAACAAGTAGCGGCAACACACCAAAAAAAAAAAGGCCGTGTGTAAAATCAGGTTGCGAAAGCTCCGCTGCAGCTCGTTATGTGGCCAGAGAGAAAACACAACAATCAGCCAACTGCTGCTGCTGCTGCTGCTTCGTACACGAAAACTTACCAACGAACCAGGGATTCCTCTTGTTATTCTCGACGGTGAGATTTAAAAAGTAATCCTCGAAGCCCTCGACCGGATTGGCCTGCGGTTGCACGGAGAGGGTGCCCTCGACCTCGGGCTCGTTGCCGTCGCTGACCAAGCCGCGCGCCGACCAGCCGTCGCTGCCGATCCAGGAGAACGCGCCCGTGGCGTTGCAGCGTCTCACGGCCCTCATCAAGCCCGCGACCTCCTGGTCCGAGCCGTAAATAATGCAGCCTGTTTGTGTGTCACATAGAAGTGGACATCAATGCGATATACAAAGTTTATATGTACCTATACATAAATTTTTCATCCGTGCACCGGAGCTTAACTGCAGCTTTTTACGCGCATGCATGCACGGACGCAGAGAGAGCACCTTGGCGTGTAACTATTTCGCGGACTATGACACGTGCGCTATATAGAAAATAGCCGTACTGCTGCAGAGAGTATAACTTTTAAAGCTCAGGTATGCTCTTTCTCTCGTGCGCCGCTGCTATGCGATGCACATACGTGGGGCTGGCTGTCAGTGAGCGTATATAGCCCCGCGCGAGGGCAGAGAGAGAAGACAGGCAGTCAGGCCAGGCAGGCATGAAGGCAAAAGCACCCTCCAGAGACTGACAGATGTGATATGCCATAGCTGCTCATAACTAAACTTGTTAAACAACCCGTACGTCCCCGCTCATGCATTGTAAACTTTTTTCTTCTTCGCTCACTCGCGCGCGCGCGCCTGAGCAGCTCCCGGAGCTGCTATATACACACACACACACGCTACATTTGCTTATTTTTTATTTCACACCTCGAAGCCCGGGATTATTCTTACGTTCGGGCGAGGGAAAATGTAAAAAAAAAAGAGAGAGAAGAAAGGAAGAGCTGCTGCTGGTGATGGAGAGAATGGTGCGAGAAAAAGTTCCAACTTGTGTAACGAACGCGAGCGCGCGCACGGGGGCTACTGCTAGTTTAATAAGCAGTATACTTTTTTTCCGTGGCGAATGCGAAATTAGTACTACTTACGCGCGGCGAAGGCTATAATAAAAGTATTCGCCCTGAGCGCCACCTCGGGGTTAATTGCTTTTCTTCCAATTGCGTAAACATTTTCTTTTCCCTGCTTAAGCACGCGGACGCGTATATAAGCCGTGAAATATCTCGGCGAGTTTTATAATCCGTAGAGCATAATATAGAGCGCGCGAGGCATCATATGGATTTTGCGCCCGATATGAATTCATGAATGAAAATCAAGTCGGGTTTTTTGTGCACCAGAAAAAAAAAATGTGGGTGAAGGAGAGAGAAAAAAAAATAGCGAAGAGAGAATAAAAGAGACTCACCTCTGGCTCGCCTTTTCGTCAAAAGTTTTTGCACAATCGAGTCGTACACGCTCTCGTCGGCGACTCCAGAATCTTTGACCAATTTCTCCTTTACCGCAATGCAGATATCGTTTTTCGCCAATAAGCTCTCTAATTCCTCGAACGCCTGTCAAAGTGACGGTCATTAATATATCGTTTGTGTGTACGTGGCAATATAATGTTGGTCGTGCGTGCGTGCACTGATATGTTCGTGTGATGTACGTTGTAGTACTCTCGCGAGTTCGGGAGATATAACGTGGAACATTACACATTCATAATGTTAATTAGTTGGTCGGTTGAGCAAATGCAAATGTTGGACAATGTTACAGAGCGATAGTCGATCGTTAACATCATTGGCATGCCAAAAGCACTTATGTGTGCTTGTGTGTCTGTATTATCAAGTGTGCGGGTCGCCGATGTTAAATTGACATAAATCATGCTATTACCTTAACGCCGTAATTACTTTCTTCGTATATGACTGATACGTAGGTCCAATTCATTTGCTTGATAATCTCGACCATGGCTTTGACTTGATAATGGTCGCTCGGTATGGTGCGGGTGAAATATTCGAAGCGCTGCTTGTTGGATAGCTCCGGGCTAGTCGAGAAGAATGACACCTGTTCACAACATGCATTAACAAACCATTATTAATACACCGTTTAAGCGCAGCGAGGTCGAACAATAAAAAAATAAAGAGAGACAAAATTCAATTTTGAGCCAAATTCGAAAATATATTACTCGAAACATTTCTTCAATGATGTGTACGAAAAATTCAAATGAGAAAAATCAGCATATGCACGCGCGCGCACGCGAGAGAGAGATGCTAAAAAGGCTTCTCTTCTTCTAAGCCATCTTGAATCTGACGTTTACGCGAGCGGGGTTTGACGTAAAAGAGGGCGAATTCGAAAGTACACTGTATTATCCTTGTTAAATTGAATTCCTCGTCGTGCGCGAAATTTCGAATGCCGCCGCCGCCGCTGCTGCTGCTGGCTTTATTGTGCACAGATCGAGTCATCTTAGCCGAGATGTCAGCGATGAACGCATAATAAAATAGAAATCGCTATTTTCATGTAAAAAAAGAAATGTGTTTTGGTGTGTACGTGCGCAGCGGTGGTACGCAGCGAGTTTAAAACGACTCGACTACTGAAGTTTGATTGATGTAAAGAGGTCGGTCAGTAGCAACAGCGATGTGGCGGGCGCACATCGCGAACAGAACAGAAACATCAAAATGATAAATAAATATTCAACCGGTTGAGCGCAGATCCGTGGAATTGCTGCGAGGGAGGAGGAGGAGGAGAAAACGGTGAAAGAAACGCTCAATCATTGTGAAATCAATCTCGTTGTTAGCAATTTGATTGAGAAATTCAACGGGGGGCGATAGTACGCGAGCTAGCTAGCGAACGAATGAAAATCTAATCACGTGCACCTTGTATCGCAAGTTTATAACAGCCCTGAATCTGAACGAGCAATAAAAGCTCTCTATCGCAGTTTATTTTTCGAAGAAGAGTCAGAAGAAGAAGAAGAAAAAGAAGAAGAAGCAGAAGAAGAAGTAGAAGAAGTAGGAAGGAGAAGAAGAAAAATACATTGGCTCGCAATTCTTTTCCTCCTTTTTTTTCTATTCGGACCAATAAATTGATGACCGCTGGGGGCTTACTCAAGAGATCTTCAAAGAATACATTGTGCAGGCAGAAGCAGCAGGAAGTACCGGTATGCAGTAGTGGCGTAAGGGTGCAGTGTGGAACTCTCGGTCCCCATGCAAATAGACCGGCCTACGTGAGTGGAATTTTTGCACTTTGCGAACTTAACTTTCTCGAGCAGGGGGCAGAGGAGAGCACGAGTCGAGGGAGAGAGAGAGAGAGAGAGAGAGCGACATAAGATGGACTGTGCACTTGCTTACTGAAGTTGAATTCCGAGTCATATAACGATATGTATATACATATATCGCGATTTGTTCAAGAAGTGAATATTTCTCTCCGGTGTGCGATACTCTATATAAGCATTTTCCTAAAATTCCTTGCTGGTATTTTTCGAAAAACTCTTGGATGCGCATCGTTTTTCTCATACATTCGGAGATCAAGTACGATTACGTGTATACATATAAACCGCGTCGGTATACATTTTCTTTTATACAGATAGATATATATTTTTTCTCCTACTTCAATCTCTACTTTTTGTCGAGAGTTGGCTGGAAGAGTTAATGTTATATTGAAATATAAAAATATCATCTCCAGAGATATCTCTGGGTTACGAAATAAAATGTTCCCTAAGAAGAGAGAGATATAAGTTTTGAAGTGTTGTGAGGTTTTAGCCGATATAATCCGTAGAAATAATAAACGTTCGCCTCCAATGCTTTGTTTGGACTTCGACCCCTTTTAGCTTCGAAGATTGTGCTCGAGAGACGACTTTGCTGCGATCAAGGACATTAAATTAATGAACAATCATGGAACTTGTCAGCGAAGATCTCTAAAACTTATATTAGCTACAAGCTACGCACGCTTTTGTAACTTTCAATTCGCTCGTAAAAATAAAAAAAATTCTCTGCGTCAATAATAAATAAATGAATGAACTTCGCTTTTACTTTTTTTTTTTTGCCATTTTCCGTACGATTACTTTTTCCTATGCGGCAATTTTTCGCATTGAATTTGTATCGGGCTAACCCCTATTCAACGAGTTTCGTGCGACTTTAACTTTCTTTTCGTTTGAAAATTCATAAAAACTTAACAAATGATGGATTTATACCAGAATTTTTGAAATACATTTAACAAAACATTTTTTAATAATTTTATTTTAAGTCTTTGAATCTAGACTTACTCGTGCAAAGACGATCGGGGAGAAACCATAGACTTACACAATATTATATATTATTAAGCAGATTTCTTTGATAACTACGAAACATACATTTTTCACTTGTGGATTCAAAAGTAACGCGTGGTGGTAGAATTTGAAAGTACACAGAACGTCGCGATGATTCATTGAAGGCTGGTATTAGATATCAAAATACATATAATAATGTTCTAAAATGAAAATTTTCTGTCTTTGAAGCCAAAGGAGCCTAATTGGAATCAGTTAAGAAAAGGATCGGTCTATAGTTGTGGAGAAAAAAATTATCACAATTAATAAAACGAGACCCACGAAGTCACCTTGATAACTCAAAAACTTGAGTTTTTTACGTGACATCTGGCGGTGGAATTTGAAAAGAATCAAAAGCATAATTTTCAACCTTTTTATTACTTTTTCAAACTTGCAGATCCAAACATACACCGAAACGGTCAACGAGCGCTTCTTACTCGACGATCTATTCACGCATACTCGCACGTTCTCGAGTTTAGGAACATCGATATCGAGTATCGTCTTATCATAATTTGAGTAGGGCCGACTCCGATTGGTGGCGAGACTGTTTACTCGAGCATCGTGGAGGGCGATTTGCTTGTTTATTTACTCGACCATCGAGGAGCACGCACACGATGTCGGTTGGTTAGCAGCCCCACGGCGGTATGAGTGACGGTTTCACGATGCTGTGTGCGGTTCACTCGTTCGCCGTTTCGTTGTATAAAGTGATGCCAATGGTCATGCTCGTAATATTAAAACTTTACTTTGTGTCATTATATACATTATAAAATAATTATATTAACAAAATTTAACTATAAATTGTATAATTTTCTGCTCACTTCACAGTTAACTTCACAACTAACGACAATGTATGAAACCACTATCCGGAAAAGCTGTCTATGCAAAACTACTCGTAGCCTTTTACGAGAAGATTAAACCATCATTGATGATATTAATTTATTGTTATGATTAATTATTTACTTTTATGGCTCACACAGATACATCGTTGGAAAATTGCAAACAATTTCGTTCGTAATCATCTTTAACAATTAATTATAAAAATTAAATATAATAATTAATAAACGATGGGCATTTAAGTCAACTTTTAGCTTTGTTTAACAGTACTCGCACTGTAAATACCACTTGTTCTGTAACTTTCAAAGCTTAAATGTAATATCAAACTCTACATTCGAATAATAATAATAATAATAATAACAAAATTGAACTCTCGTACGCAACGGATGCAAATGTATACAAAGTCTCTTGAATTTAGATTACCGTCGTGGTGGCCCATTTGTACTTTATCGCAGGGTATTAGATTTTTCCTCAAGTTTATGAAATCAGAGAGATAAAAAAAAGGCTGAGCACGCGGGCTATTCCGGGCGCACAAATAATGGGATACTTCGCACTCGATTTTCGGCGTGGATTCACGAGCACGTGGGACAATAAATATGAGGCGTGTGTGCGGCGCCGAGGTATATAGGCGTGCTGCATGCAAATTCAGCCATAGCCGAGAGCTGAGCTGCTGCACACCGAGGAAAACGAGAAAATTATATGGAGCTAGTCTCTCTCTCTCTCTCTCTCTCTTTCTCTCCGCAGCGGAGGGGTGGAAGGGGGGGGGGGGGCGAGAAAACATGATTTATTCCGTTGATTAAACACACTAGGCGGGTATATGTGTGCCTACAGGTTAGAAGAAGTGCCAAGATATTAACATAAGTATCATTATCCCACGAGCCTCTTCCTTATATACCCGAGCTTGAGCGCGGCGCGGAAAAGTAAGAACGCAGCAACCAAGTATAGTGAATGAGAGAAACGGATACGATGTGCAGGGCGCCATATATGCGATGTAGGGTAGAGGTATACGGCACATATATATTCTCGTTGGAAGGAGGAGATAAAGAGAAATCTAGTGAAAGATAGTACGGGAGCTAGCTTCGGCTCTAGCTCTAGCTATATGTACGGGCGCGCTGAGAAAAAAAAAAGGAAAAGGTTTCGTGAAAAGGATCGGGTGTATGAGCACAGACACACCAGGGGTAAGTGGAAAAGTGTGTGTGGCCAAGAGTGCTACCGCCGACGCCGCCTCTGCTGCTGCTGCTGCTGCTGCTGCCTCTGAGACTCGCAGCCTGTCTGCCTCTCTCTGCCTGCAGCATGTAAGATAGAAGGTAGAGGTAGTAAGGTGATTTTACGGGACAATGGTTTCAGGCCAATACTTTGCTGTGGAGAGAAGAGAGTAGAAAGAGAGGAAGAGACAGAGAAGCGTCACAAAAATAAAGTTTCACGGGTCACTGAGATTTTACTCCTTCGCGAATCTTTGGACCGATATATTAATCATCTTCGTCCCAAGTATATAAGGGTAATTTTCAAACGGAGAGAAGAGACGAAGGGAAAATAAGATAATCGCAACCGATTTCTGCCAATTTTATGCCAGAGCTTGCTCGCGCCAAATTCTTATCCTTTACGTGTGTATATCTCAAATCGTTCGTTCGTTCGTTTGCTGGCTCGCCTCTGCGCCACTGGCCAATCGGAATTTCGGAAAAATATTCCAAGCGCTTTTCATTTATTTTCAAAGATAGGAATTTTTACGCGCGCACCCCGCCTTTTTACCCGAAAGTTTTATTCGAATTGGAGACTGGAGGGATAACAGTTTTAGTATATCGGTACAGCGAATGTAAAAAATTGATTTTCTTCATTTCGTAATCTTATTCATCAGTTAAAAATGTTTCCAACGATAATACCCTTCTCCTCGCAGCCCGGCAGGATCGAGCGGATAATGGAAAATAAGATTATACAGAATTCGATGTAAATGGTATTATTTACGATACACGCAGGAAGCAAGAGTTTCTCCTTCTTTTTTTTTTGTGCAAAGTTTTAACGACATTTTCTTTCGTTCGAGAAGTCGTAACGGTGCTGCGCGCGGCAGCAGCACATTTTCCATAAAATCAATAATGCAAATTTCATCAATCTCAGGATCCTCGAATAGACGAATACGACATATGCGCTCAGCGACAGCAGGACGATAGAGTATGGAAAAAAGAAAAAAAAAACAACTTTGCGTTTACACTTCGAGAAATATTTATATTAACTCGCGTGTATGTGTGAGTATGGTATATAGGAGAAGAAGTAAATACTTATATATACGCACCTGGGGTATTCGAAAGAGTCGTAAAAGATTCGCAACTTGTATGGAGGTAACGGAGCTCGCAGCGCCGACCACGCCGGCAATAACCTTCCTAACCGCCGTCTTGTTGCAATGAAACTCGGCACCGTCTATATTGCTGATGGAACCTGCAAAAAGAAAAAGAAGAAGAAAAAGTAGAGAGAAACACGTAAAATTTGTCCAGTTATAAATATATTAAGAGAGTTCGAAGTGGTATAAGCTTTCACGGGCAGCTCGAACATGTACGTATGCGTGTGTATACGTTTATGAAAAATCCCCCGCGATCGTATGCATGGCGAAAGTTAATTCAAACAGTCCTCGCTCCTCTCTCTCTCTCCCTCCCTCCCTCCTGCGTCAATATTGAATCTATCGAAGGGAAAACTTGACTCCCTTTCACTTGCAAATTGCAAAAAGTTTTTTGCTCGCGTATACCTACACAGAGAGCAAAGGGGGCCACATAAATCTATTCTAAGCCCTCTCGATCGGGATATATCGAGTTATATACGAGATATACGAGAGTCGAAAAATTGTCAGCAATAATTCACCGCTAGTGTGGGTGGTCCATCATCGGTTGCGGCTGCCGAGACTCGTGCAGCAACACTTGGTCCTGTACTGTATACCTATACATACCTATAGGCCGGCCTCTGTGCTGTGCTCTGCTGCTGCACCTCTGCGCACAGATCATATGCGCGCATAGCTATGTATTTCGTGCCCTCTCTCGGCCCGTTATAATATCGAACGCGATAAATCCTCCTTGACAACGTTCCATCGATCCTTTTGTTGTTGTCGTCAACATTAGTCGTCAGGTGCGCTCACGGCTGTCTCTCTCTCTCTCTCTCTCTCTCTTCCTCTCTGCCTCTCATAATACATAAGCTCAACGAGCGTGAAGCCCAACCAAGGGGAAAATTGATACGCGCGCGCGGCCAAAGTGCATGCGAGTCTGGAGCTGCTGCTGCATGATCGATTGATCTTGCTAATGAATTGTGTAGCCCAGCGCAACGATGCGCATTGTTTATTAAATTGTGCACTTCAACTATATATATCTGTGCGTACGCTGCACACAGTGGGCTAATAACTATTGTACACTGTAACGCCTCTGCCGATACTTATGTTCGTTTGATTTCGCGCAGTGCTCGATCTCTCTGGGCACATATTAACGGCGCTTTATCAAGAGGGTGATTGGAAAATTTATATATTTCCAGGATTCCGCACGCCCTCCACCTACCTCCGGCACACCACTAACTTTTAACGCGCTGCGCAAGCATCAACGTTATATATATGCACGACGACGAGCAGTGGTATATTTTAATGTCACGTCACAACCGAAACTGAAGAATAGATTTGCAAGTCAATTTGAATGGGCTTCCACACACACACACACACACACCCTCGATCCTCTCTGGAACACACTTTTATTTCGGCCCCGCGCGCATAAATATCTATCGGTAGATAAATTCGCGCGCCAGGCCAAGTTTGGCATCAATAAGTTTGAATAGTCAACTGACAAGGCACTGTTTGTGTGTGTGAGTGTGTGCGCGTCTATCGACACCTATCCTATTCTCCTCTCCGGCAGCACACTTCCGAGTGTAGTTGTTGAATCGACAAGTTTTTTCACCGTGAAAAATTCTTGATCTCGGGCTCACTAAAACGGGTTTGTACTACTGAAAATATAATGAATTTTATATTATAGAAATATTGGGTAAATCTGAAAGAGTCCAAACTTCTGAGAAATCATGATCTAATACCCAACTAATTTTTTGCATGAATTGATAAAAGTAATTGGATTACATGAATAAAACTTGAATTAATGAGGAGGGCCAGTCGAACTGGACGTTATTTTAAACATTTTATGGCCGTAATATAATGATGCACATTTTTTTTTATGATTATTTTTTAAAAATATGAAATTTATGCAAATTACCATTTATACACATTTTCAATAGAGATCTTTAAACATCGAAAGCACGATTTTTGCAAATTTCGAAATTTATTTTGAATATTATTTTTACTTTTTCACTTGTAGGTTTATAGGTAAAGGTACTCGCTATCTATTAATTAATTTTGTACAAACTTTTTGACATGTTAAGCACAATAATTTGATAATGAATGACTCAAATACGGTACTGTAATAATTTCGAAGCAAATCTAAACCCACCTACACGTTCAACAAATGTGGTCGAGTACTAGCAGACTCACCCTGCCTTTTTATTTGGACAAATTGGATGTTTCTTTCCAGGTATCGTGTGTTTTCTCGACCATAAATTAATTTCAACGAGTGTTATAATATTTTTTAATTATTTTCTACGCGTCGGTTCACAAATTTTCACCGTAAAATAATTTAGAGACGAACGTAAAATCAAGATCGTAAAAGGCGCGATTTAACATGCGTATAAACGAGAAAGGTAAGCGATCTTGAAATTTATTTTTCAAGGTAACATGACATAATCCTCTAGTTGGCACGTCGCGATAAAATCAGGAAAATTAATTAGTGCTCGGAACAAAAGTAAAGACTTCAATTATGTCGTCCGAGTCGTTGTCTAAGCTCGCCATCTAGATTGTAAAAGTTTTCGCTCTTATATACGTTTATTTTTTTTTCAACCATAACGAATTTATACGTTACTTTTCGCCAAATGTTTTTCTAATTTTCAGTGACTTTCATCTCCTCTTTGCCGAGCTAAAGATGTATATACTTTATTCGAAGAAAAAAATACGTATTGAAACTCGTGTTATACGTCAGCCCTCCCACAATACACGAAACAGCTGCTGCAGCACAGCTTCGCTGTATACGGCGTTTAAACCTTTAAGGTTTTCCACGTTTGAGATAGAAAACACACATCCTGCGACACACGCTCGTCGATCAAAGTGACCCGAGGGGGCTTTTTATACTCAAGCTTGCTCTCTCTCTCTCTCTCTCTCTCTCTCCTGCTACGTGTGCTGTCCTAAAAGTGAAATAGACGAATAATGGGTACATTTGAGATAAGCACTGGAGAAAGAGTAATAATAGAAAGACATTCGCCGTAGGTATAACGTATATAATACGTGTACGTTTCGTATAACCGTACCATAAGCGAGGAGGACGACTGGACACATGGTCGACGATATATCGTCTGCGCGTAACAGCTAAGTATTATATAAGCGGCCCGAGCGTACTACTACCAAGAGAGCGAGCCGCGCACATTAGAATTACAAACTTGACATGCGCGCCGAAGCGATTATACATATCTTTGCACTTAATTCTATTCACAATGAATGATGGTGTCAGCAACACCCACACAGCTACGCATACTTGCACGGAGTTGCACGGAGCGAGCGAGAGAGAGAGAGAGAGAGAGAGAGAGACGTTGAAGTCTGCAACAGTCAAGATCGAACGAGGCAGAATAGATTTAACGAGGGTAGCTGCTGCTGCTACCGGTGGTGTATATTATTGATGGGGGATTCGGAATGGATCACCCCTCAACTTCGGGCTTAGCGGTTTATTTTTTCACGAGAATTATCTCCTCCTCAGTTAAATGCTGTATCAGTCGGTTCGTGCCTCGGTGTATGTACGTACTTACAATATGCAATGTACTGAGTTGCAGTACGTATATGTTTAGTTTGCTGGAGTATTAATTCGCGAAATCTGCTGACTCGGCGCTCAGCTATAATACGTAATATAATAAAATATGTAATATTGATATAACGAAGAAGCTTGATTACAGGGATCGCATTCTAAGACATTAAAGTTTTCGTGGATATAAGACTATAAGCTGATACGTCGTTAAAAATTTCTTGACGGCTCGTAGCTACTTACATGATTATTACTTTTTTTTCAAGGAAAATTTATGTAAAGGAAGCAATTAGCGAAATAATTATTTAAAAGAACATCAAAATCTTCGATGTAAACGTAAATATTCAAGTCAATAAGTTATATGGAGTTTATTCGCTGTTTTAATAAAAAAAAAAACTTGCTTTAATTAATCCCCGATTACGTCATCGTTTTAAACTATAAACTTCCGCGAATCCCTGATTATTAACTTTTTTAATCAGTGATTATTTACAATAACATTGAAACTTTGAATTCTTAATAATGAGCTACGTAATAGAAGCATGTAAAAAAGTTTTCAGCTTTCGCGCCACAATCAAGACATAAAAAAAAGTTCGTGTGCGAATGCGCCAAAAAGAAAGGAATATGCACAGTGGGTGATTTCAAAAATTCAATTAACGAATGCGCCACACTATACATCACCCATGCTTACCATTTTTCTTACTCACTCTCTCTCTCTCTCTCTCTCCCTCTTACTCGAGGAAGTCGAAAGAATGTATTTAGCGTTGAAACGTTCTACGTACGGTTATATACACGGTCGTCGTCGTCGCGTGGGTGTGTGCCGCGCGCACGCTTGGCGTTCAGTTGATTTTTCACGAGTTGAGTTTTGCGCATGCAGCAGTAGCAGTAGCAGTGCTGCCGTTACTGCTACTGCTGCACCTCTATAGACGCACTACTGCCGCTGCTACGTTCGTTCCGTCGTTCGTTCGTTCGTTCGTTCGTCGCCTCGCACGCAGTAGTACTTCGCTCTCTCTCTCTCTCTCTCTCCTTTTTTTTCGTTTAGAAATGCGGCGTCGCACGTTTACTTTGTCTCTTGAAAAAGTTCCTTGGGCGACGATAACTCACACGTGGCAGGAATTTTTTAGCGCATAAAAGCTTTTCTTCATTTCTTGACTCGAGGCTATATAGCGTTCAATTTTTGCGCGCGCGCGTGTGTGTGTATACGGTGTATGTATACGCACATTGGGTGAAACTGCGTCATAGATACTCTCTTGATATACTATATAATATATACTTTTACAGCACTTACTTCTCGCAAGCGTCAATCGTAAACCACAGCAAATCATTTTTAGATAGATTGTATTGATAAAACATGAAAGAAATAATGGGAAAGCTTGAAGGGATCATATATTGATATTTTATCGCTTATTTTTTACTTGATCAAGCGAAAATGGTAAAAATTATTTGTTTGATCTTCTCTCTCACTCTTGTTTTTTTCTGGGGGGNGGGGGGGGGGGGGGGGGGTTTGAAATATATATATAAATCGCTACGTAGCTCTGTTGGTGACAGGCATGTTATATTATTGAGCTACTTCAGTTCAGCGTT